AGAGAACCGGAGGCAGTGGGGCAAAGGGTCTTGTCCTCACCAGCTCCTCAGGGGGAAAAAGGCACTGTGGCCCACCTTCCAGGGCTCCAGACAAGATTTTTGACCATGCTTAAGTGTTTGTTCTTGGCTCAGCTGCACACCACTTTCACTCGCAAACACGTTCAGTTTGCAAAAGCTCTTTTGGGTAGGAAACCTCACATTCTGTACAGCATTATGTATCAGGGTGGCCAGTTAGGCATGCAAGAGAGGACTGGTATGCTAATTTATATGTATCAAGAATTTAAGCAGAACAGAGAAAAATCCCCACTTGGAGGAGCAAGTGGGAGTTCCTCTTCTTTTTCCAAGTATGAGATCTTGCTAGCATTTAGGAGGCTCGGTGCATCTCATTTATGAAATACTCCATTCTATTGTCTGGGTTTGGATTTCTTAAAAAAAAGAAAAAAAACTGCATGGCAGGAAAGTGCAGAAAAATTAAAGCAGGCCTCAGTTGGGAGTTTTGTCTCTTCAACTGGATCATATGAGGAATGAGCAGGGCACGTTCCCAGGAAGGGAACCCCGCAGTGGCTCATTATGACTGGTCTCTGAGCATGTGCTGAGAGCTGGCTGCTGCTCTCTGCCCATATCAGTGCAGCTGCTTCAGTGACCAATAAATAGGATTTGCCTGGAGTTGGCCCAGTGACAGAATTCCTCAGAAGCAAAAAGGTGCTGGTTATTTCCTATAAAGCCCTAAACAGCTTGGGACCTGGATACCTAAAGGAACGCCTTCTTCCATATTTGCCCTCTCGCCCCGAGATGGGCAACAGAGGCCCTCCTCCAGGAACCCTTCGTGAAAGACGTTAGGAGAAGAGTACGGAGGAGGGGCTTCTCTGTGGTGGCGCCCCACCTCTGGAATGCGCTCCCCAGAGAGGTCCGCCTGGCTCCGTCATATGTTTTTCGGCACCAGGTCAAGACCTTTTTATTTAATCAATATTTTAATATTGAATGTCACTGTTGCCTTTTATTAACTTGCAGCCAGAGTAGGTTGACAAATTACCTATGTTGTTAGCCATTCAGAGATGTAAGTAACTGGACGGCATACAAATTTTATAAATAAATTAATTAATTTTGCATCATTTATTAGATTTCTATCCTGCCTTTTTTCTTACAAAGAACTCAAGGCAGCTCACATCCTTCTCCTCCTCCTGCTCTCAATCCCCACAGCAACAACCCTGTGAGGTAGGCTGGGCTGAGAGTCTGTGAGTGGCCCAAAGTCACCCAGCTGGCTCCATGGCTGAGCAGGGACTCGGACCCGGATCACCTGAGTCCCAGTCCCAGCTCTTAACCACTACGCCACACTGGCTCTCAGTTAATAGTTAATATGGTCTCAGTGGCAAACAATTGTAAAATTAATTATTTTCTCTCAAACAAAGTATAACCAGGCAACTGCAAGAGACGGCTTTCCCACAACCTGGCACCTAACCAGAATGAGGGCAGAAATGCAGAACTCTAAAACACCAAGGGGTCAAGACTTCACATTTCTCAGCAAATGACTCCAGTCACATGTGAGAAAACGGCATCAGCTTCTTGATGTGACTAACAATCAGGAAGAGATTGGACTGATAATTGCAATAAGGAATGGAGAAATCAGCTATGTTGTAATTTTTATATAAAGGATTTTTTTAAAAAAATCCACCCTCAGCTTCATTTCTTCCAGATATTTTTATTGATTTAATATATTGCCTTTTTTCCTTTCAGGAATGCAAGACAGCTTATAAAATCCATTCCATTTTATCCTAACAACAACCCTATGAGGTAGGTTAGGCTCAGAGTCTGTGGCTGGCTCAAAGTCACCCCCAGAGCTGGGCTAAGAGGGGGCAAGAACCCAGATTCCCCCAGATCCCAGTCAAACCCTTTAACTGCTACACTACACCGGCTCCTGGGGGAATTTATAGATGTAATTTTTATATGTCTAGTCTTACTTAAAAGTTTCCTAGTCAGACAATTTTTAGAAATTATTCAGAGAGAATTAAGGCCAGGTAGCAAAAGAGGAACGCCTTATTGTAAACATGTTATACATCGTCCTGAAATAAAGGATTTCAACATTCCAAGCTGAATTTCAAAATACACTCACAAAAGACCCTGGAAAACAGGAAGGAAAAAAACTCCCCCACCCACGATTCTTCTGGGTTTCTTTCCCCAAGCTGTCATATTGCTACTTTGAATTGACTGTACAAATATGAGATTAATTTAGCACCCGATGCTAAATTAATCTCCTATTTTAATTTAGCATCAGTGACAGGAGGGGACTTTGGGGCTTAGGCATCCCTTGCTGACTCCTGTCTGAGACTTCAGAAATGCGGCTTCAGAGAGACTTTTGATTACCCCAAGTGGGTGTGTTTTTTGGTGAGGGAAGGGGGGTTGTGGGAAAGATTGTTCCATTCAATATTTAAAAACCATAGCCCGCTGTGGCTGCCTTGACCAAAAAGCCATATAGCAACACACTGAATAACCACAACAAAAACCACACTTTGGGTAGAGCTGAACTTGTGGGGTTTTGCAAATTTTGTGTACTGTTCTGGGCTTGTCCGAGGAAGAAAAAATGCACCTGCAATTACTTCTGTCAATGCTTCTACAGGGAGGCAAAAGATCGACACATAATATGCCCATAACTGATTTTCAGAGTTAGATCATGCCTGAATATGGAGGAGCTCCTTCTGTGTTTCCCCATCATGCCTTTTAATGCTTTTTAAAGCCATTGTTGAAACCCGGAAAAATCACCACATTTTGCAGCTGTGAGTGCCGCAGCTTCAATAGAAGCCCTGCAGAATTGGCCAAAATGACCACCTAATCCAGCATCTTGTTCACAGAGTGGCCAACCAGTTGGCATGGAATGACCGAAAGTGGGCGACTGGAGTGGCCAACCTCCCGCCCCCCCTCCAGAAAACACACTTTGTTTTGCTGGTTGGTGGGTAAAGCACATGAGTTATCCCCCCCCACCAGATACGTACAATAAGCCAACCCACTCCCCGCAAGGGCACCTGGGAAACCACCCAGCATGCATATGGGTGGCATGGGATATGAACTGCCCTCGTGCCATGCGGACTGGTCCAGGGCTCAGTTGGGCTTCTGTCCCTTGTCCTCAAACTTGCCAGAAACATACCACGAGTTTTGACTAGCTACCTGCACTGATCTAACCTAGAGATGTGGGCAGCTTCAAAACTACCCCAGAACCCATGTTGCAGGGCTCTGCAGAGGTTCCAAAGCCAGCCCCTGCTGGGCAGCTCACCCAGTTTGGCCAGCATCAAAAGCTGGGTACGGATAAACCAACATCTTGTGGTGACAAATTCTACTTTTTAACTACATGCTGTGTGCAGAAGTCTCTCTTTTTACCTGTCCTGAATCTCCCACCAATCAGCTTCATGGGATGGCCTAAATACTAGTATTACTACATACAATGAATTACATGCCATTAAATTAATTGTATGAAGAGGTGGGAAATATCCAAAAAGCATGGAAAAAATGGGACTTTCCAGGGGTGGAAGACGACATTTTCACAAATGTTGAAAAATAACCCATATTTATCTCTTTAGCACACTTTAGCACTCGCAAATTTCAAACCACTTTCTTTCTGAAGGACAGCCTTACCCAACTCAAGGGAGTTTGGACTTTCTCACCCATCTGCCTCAAGCATGCTGGGAAATGCTGGGTATTACAGGCCAAAATTTCAGGATGACACCCAGCTGGGGAAGTAGCCCTTTTCCCCCCTAAATTTATATTAACCATGATTTTGTTCACTTCCAAATGATCATTCGGTTTATACACATTTGCCAATAAAGCCAGTTTGGTAACTTTGCAATTCATGTCAGGATGAATGATACTTTGAAATGCAATATATCAAACATGATCATTCTGTCAACAAACCAAGGTATACCTATTTGACAGGTGACCTGCTGGAATTTCAGCAAGTTGGACCTGAGACAAGGGATCATTTTGGAAGCCAGAAGAAGCAGCAAGAAAGCAAAGCAGTGGAAAAGTTTGCAAGGAAGTTTATGGAATTCTGAACTCTGTCCCTGTATTTGGACTACACTGCAGGGAAAACTGATCCCAAGGAAAATCTATGGAGATGTCACATAGCTTGGAAAAACTCAGCTTCATAATGCTCTGTGAGTCTATCTAATTTAAGAAACTTTATGCAATTGCAACTTATTTTTGGAAAAGTGATGCCTTGAGCACTTTTATAAATGACTTTCATTCATAAGCGTCTTTGTTTTGGTTCACTTGGTTTAAGAACCAGTGTGGTGCAGGGGCTTAGGGTGTGGGACCGGGACTCAGGCAATCGGGGTTCTAGTCTCCATTCAGCCATGGAGCAAACTGGGTGGGCCAGCCACAGGCCTATCTCTCAGGGTTGTTGTCCTGAGGATAAAATAGAACCGCGTAAGCTGCCCTGAGCTCCTCAAAAGAGGAAAATGGGTTAAGGTTAGGCTAAAAAGGCATCTCAGAAGCTTATGCTGTAATGGGAGATTACCATGTTGCTGGAGTCCAGATAACCAGCCATGGGAAACAACCCACCAGCAAACCATGAGATGACTTCATGGGTTGGCCATGGATACCCAGTCAGGACTTGTTGGCATAGCAAGCACCCATCTTTCATCAACAAACCACAGGTCTGGGATACCACTCTTTGCTCACCTGGCCTGCCCCGCCATGTTGCCTGAGGCAGAAATGAGGAGAGCCTGAAGGGATATTTTGGCTAGCCTGCAAATGTATTCCAGGGACCCTCGGAGGACTGCCTGTGGACGGGCCTTGCACGCCAGGATGATGTTGCCAAGTGGACGAACGACTGCTCGGAGAGGCGGAAGAAAGGGGGGCTTGCCCCGGGTGCATCAAGCCAGCCCGCAGCATGTTGGCTTCACGCGCACTCTCCGGCCCGTGCCAACCTTCCCCACGGAAGCGCTGGGCAGGCTGCCCGCGCCAGGCGCCCCGCCGACCGGCTCCAGGTCGCCCTCGCCGCGGGCCCTTACCAGTCAAGTGCCACGATTTCCTTCGGCCGTAGCGCCCGCAGCCGCCGGCCTGATCCGCCTCGTAGCCCACCAGCGGCGTGCAGATGCCGTCGGCCACTTGCCCGGCCAGCAGGAGCGCGCCCGCGTGAGTGGTGCTGAAGCCCAGCACGGAGTGGAAATACACGAGCAAGTAGGTGAACCACATCGAGGCGCACAGGTCGTTCAGGAAGTGGCCCACCGAGTAGCTGAGGCGAGCGCGCAGGGGCAGCGGCGGCGGCGGGTCCCCCATGATCCCCGGACGCGTCCGCGCGGCTCCCCGTGCGGGCTCCCGGCGCGCGGCTGCCCCGGCCGCCCGTGCGCAAAGGAGAGGCGCCGGGGCGCATCAGCTGGGCTGCAGCGGACGATCGCCGGGGCCGCGCCCAGCCGACGGCGAGCAGGAGCGCAGACGGGGGGCGAACGCTGCCGCGACCGGGAAGTCTGCCGCGCCATGCGCCCGCCGGGCGGCCTTTATGGGCTCCGGAAAACCCCCCGGGCCGGTCGTGGGCGATCGTCCGCGGCGCCGGCTCCGCTGCGCCCTCCAGCGAGCTGCCGGCGCCGCGCGGTCCTCGGCCGCCGGGGAGCGAGCCAATGGAGCGGCCCCGAGGGGGCGTCCCCGCGCGGCTTCCCCACCTCCCGGCTTCCTGCCTGCTCGGGATAAGAGGAGCGCCCTGCACCGACTAGCCCCCGGGCATCCCCAGCCTTGGCGAGCGGATGAACGATCTGCGACCGTCGCAGCCCACGCCCCCCCGCACCACCCGCGAGGCTCCGGGGGCTTCCAGAGGCCCTGGCTGGCCTCGGGATGATTTGCAGGAGGAAAGGCCGGGGGCCAAGATGCGCCCGCCCCGAGCTTTCGGTGCCTTGCGGAGGGCCTCCCCGCGTTCCGAAAGGCTGGGCCGCGCGCCCTAAAGCTCACCCCCTGGCAGGAAGAATGCCGCCCCGCAGAGGTCGGTGTTTGGGGCCGCCCCTTTAGCCTTCTGCCCCGCCCACCAAGGGGCCTTCCCCCCCCCCCCGGAACTTCTTCGATTCGGATTTGGAGCGCAAGCGGGGAAAGATGCAGAGAGCGCTTGCTTGGCTTTACGCGCGCTCTCCAGTCCGGGTGCCTCCCGTGGCGGGCTTTAGGAGCCCTCAGGCCTTTCCAGCGAAGGCGGTGGGTCGCGGAGAGGAGCCGAGGCACTAGCACGTATCCCTTTTTCTCTTCTCGTTTCACATCTCATGGCGCCCCCAGCCGCCCCTTCCACCCTCTGCATCCCGCAGGCGTCCCCCAAGCCCTGCGTGGCATTCCGAAGAAGCGAGCAGGACGGATGCAGCTGGAGTTCAGGCAGGTTTCACTTCCTCCTGAAAGTGACGGGCGGTGAGCCGCCATATGCTTCTGGCCTGGCAAAGGTTCTCCGGAGCCCCTGATGCTGCTCGCCACCGCATCCTTCCTTCCCTTTTCAAGTTAATAGCCATGGGTTGGCTAGCGCTAATTTTATCACTTGCTTTCAATGAATGTTCCCCCTCGCGAGGCGGTGCTTCCCCGCCTCCCCACCCACAAGTGAATGTAAAGTTAACACCTGGGCAGCAAACGCACCGCTAATTCTGGCAGTCACGTGAAGATGATTCAAAGGAGTATTTGATGCTTTAAAAAATGGAGCTGGCAAAGAGAACAGAAGTACAGTTGGAAGGGGCCCTGTAAGACTCCGTTTCTGCGTGCGTTATTTATTTATTTGTTTATTACATTTTTATTCTGCCCTTAAGCCATGCAGGGCTCTAGGTGGTGAACGTGTAGAGAACAACCTTAAAACATAATATAACAGTAAAATATATACAATAATCATCCATTCAGCTGCAAGCCCGTGCCTTTTCAGCTTAGTAAAGGTGGCTCAACACCTTTTCTCCTCTTGCAAGGAATACAAAGTAACTTAAAAGGTACCCAACCTCTCTGTTTGAGCCTAACAACAACCCTGTGAGGTAGCCTAGGCTGAGAGTGGCCGGCACGAAGTCACTCGGCAAGCTGCATGGCCAGGTGTGGACTAGAACCCAGATTTCCCGACTCCTGGTCTACCATTCACAATCTGGCTGGCGTCATGGTGTGTTTTAGCTTACAGAGCTACTAGTCAATAAAATACGAATGAAAAACGGTATTGGGGCTCAGATCCATTTAGAAACCCAGGTCCCCTGAGCTATAATCACAGTTTGCTGATTCTGATGCAATTGATAGAAGAAATATCCCAAGAATCTCTCTCCCCTTCAAGCAATCTGATTGAAAAGCACACCTGCCATCTAAGAGATGCATTTTTCATGTGAAAATCATGTTTTGGGAGCGTATTTTTAGATCGTCAGTCCACTGCATGTGCATTGGCAGAGATGTACATTTAAACCTTAGAAGAGGAGTTGTGATGTCCTTGAATGACCTTGGAGACAACTGCCAGCTTTAAGTGGCTGTTCAAGTTGCAGGAATGCAGATGGTTTCCAACCTCCTTCCCCCTCCCAAACTTTGTCCCTCATGGTCACTCTGCTCACATGCTGGTCTGCTTATTCTCTTCCTCTGCCCTTTGGGTGGAAGGTCCCTCATCTTCCTCCATTGCCATGTTGTCATAAATATTGGCGACTGCTCTGGAAGGACAGAAGTGGGAAAAAGCAGGAATAAGAACCAGAAAGGGGGGCATTTGGGAGGCAGGACAGACTCCTAAACTGGCTACCTAAAGGGCTGTTTGCTCCCATATATACTTTCTCAGACTCTTCTGAAAGAGCTATTCCATAAGGAGGTGAAGGGATGGTGAATAGAAGCAGGACCTTCTCTGTGGCTGCCCCTGAATTTTGGAACAGGTTCCCCAAAGAAATTCATCTGGCACCAACCTTTTCTCATTTTGGCACCAGGCAAAGACATTTCTCTGAATAGTTTAAGAACTGATTTGAAATCTTTCACTTTCTGTAGGACCTGTTGCCCTGCTTACTTGATATAATTATGTTTTCTTGTTAATTCCTGTTGTGATTTTACCTATTTTATATATAACTGGTTTTTGTTTCTAGCATTGTAATTACCGATTTTATTGTAAGCCTCCTAGGGAATCCTTTTGGACTGGTAGGTGGCATATAAATTTAAACAGAAAATAAATAAAATTGGAAAAAATCAGAACGGGGGTGTGACAGATGGGACTACTTTCTTTGAAGAATCCAAAAGCTTGGCTCAGCTCACCTCTTGCTGTGACCCAGAATAAAGCTATACCTTTATTGTGTCAATGAGCACAACACTGTTGTGTCAATGAACACAACAAAAATAACCAGAACTACGTAGCTTCATTTCCTCCTCACAACAACCCTGATAAGTAGGTGAGGTGACATGAGTGAATGACTGCCTCAAAGACACCCAATGAGCTTCGTGGCCAAATTGGGACTCGAACCCGGATCCCCCGGGTCTGTAGTTCAACCCTCTAACCATACCACAGTGTTTCTTACGATATTTACCTGAGTTCATTGTTTTTCCCGCTTGACTCTGTATCAGATCTGCAAAGGAGAGACAGAATTATGAGGAGGAAGTAGTGGATCAATGGAAAAGCAGCAGGATGCGAAATCTTTGAATGTACAGGACTCACAGCCTGGTTGCTCACACTCCTGCACCCTTAGCCTTATTTGTATTATTTCCGTGTCTTCTATAGGATCAGAAACTTTTAAAAAGGTAAAACTGGGAGCTTCGTCTTTCTTTGCTGTTTTTGAAAAGTGAGCAGATCCCTTGCTAGGAAATGATTCTGCTGTTCGCTGCCACACTTCCCTGGGTCCAGATGGTTCAGGAAACTCGAGGTCAGGCCTCTAAGATATGTCTCGTCAGCACTGTAGCTCCCCTGATGTCTCCAGTGTTAGCTGCCGTGAAGGCGACCAAGACAGACTTGTGTGTTTAGGTGTAAGTCCCTCTGGTTTTCCTGTGTTGGGAAAATTTGGATAAATCCTGTCTGAAAAACATTGCCTCTGTGTGCTTTTCGCATTGTGGGATCAAATCCTGTACTTCTCAAACCAAGTTAAATCACTGTTTCAAACGTCCTTCATCCCCCGCTCCTTTCTCTCACCTTTAGCTGTAAGCTACAGTACACAGATCATTTAGTCCGAATTTACATTGCATACCTTCACAATGATTAAATAGTCATTGTTGGAATTCAGTTTACAAGGAAGTATCTTTTGATAGCCCAGAGGCTCCATGTGCCCTGGCCAATTCAGAATGTCTAGAGTCTAGATAAGAGTCTTGAGTTCATGCATAGTTTCAGTAGCTTGAATTTACATGTCCAAACAGACCTGGAGATGGGTTCAAGCTACTGAACTAAAGTGTCAATACAGGCAATTAGAAATACTGTAATCTCATTGTCACTGTGTGATTGACTGACCTTCCTTTATCTGTTCTGTATGTGAAGGCCTCAGAATCTTATTGCAATCCCTGCATTCTGTCATCACTTGCCCTGTACCTGTGTACCTACAAATGCCCTGTAATGGTATTGAAGCTTGGCAGCAGAGTTCACCTCTGCCTGCCCGGTAATGCATGCATTATCCTGAGTACCGCAGGAACCTTGGGGTAAATACAATAAAGCCTCAGATGGTCTGGACGCTTGGTCTTTCCCACGAACCCGAGTTTTATTCCCTCTTCTCAAATTGGGACTCCAGGATGCTGACACCTGTGACCCTGGTCATGCTTCTCAGGTGCTGACATTTCAGGTGCCGGTAGTTACCCAGCCTTACTATCCTCATTCTAAATGCTTAAAAGGCCTTTCTTAAAGTGCGTTAAGTTAAAATCCAGTGGTACTTTTGTATCTTTTGGCATCAGGCGAAAACCTTTTTATTCTCCCAATATTTTAAATGTTAATTTGTTTGAATTGGTGGTTTTATACTTCACATCGGATGCTGTGCCACTCCTACTCTTATTTCTGTTTTTATTCGATTTTATTAATGGTGTTGTAACCCGTCTCGAGACGTCTGTGATGGGACGGTACAGAAAAGTTTTAAATAAATATATATTTTAGCTCCTCCTGTCCTCTCCCTGCCCCTTGGATGCAACCTCTGGGGGCTTCTCTGGAATTGAATTTAGACCGCAGACTAAAAAGAGTTTCAGTACCCCTGAAGATGGGAGCAGTTTGTTTTATTAATGAATCACTGAGAAGAATTTTTCTCCATTCTTCCTGCTTTCTCTTTGTGAGTAAGGGGGACTAGAAACTTTTTTACTTTTTTAAAGGAAGCTGAATATTTAGAAATGGGCTTGCACTTTCCCAAAAGGAGTCGGTCTGTCCCTGCACCCCTTTGCCCACTGAGTGAAAACCTAACATATACTTCAGTGTCTGACCATCTCTTATGGGTTGTGGATCGCACAAACATTTAAAACCCAGAGCAAAATGCAAAAATAAGAGAGGCTTACGATTTGCTAGAGAAAAACAGCCTGTTGATGAGCAATGCCACGAACATCAAGCACAGGAAAACTACCACAGCTGTCAGTCCCACCAGCCATGACTGCCAAGCGCTTGACCCAGCCGTGGTTCCGGTCACAAGGCCTGTTAGGGGTACATGCAGCAAAGACCATGGTCACTGCAGAACTCTGGGCTCTGCAGCCCCACCCTCACTGCCAGAAGATCTGATGTTGCCATAATGATCACCTAAAGCATGTGCAGAGGAAAAGAAGAGGCCGACGGAGGTTTCCAGTTGTTTTACTAGAGTTCTTCAGCGCTGGTGTGCCCAGCGCAGCCTTCCCCGCCCTGATCCACTGCAGATGTCCTAGACTACAACCCCCAGCATTCCTGATCGTGGCCCATGCAGCTGGGGCTGGGAGCAGTCCAAAACATCCAAAGCCTGAAACATCTGGAGGGAAGCAGCATGGGGAAGGCTGTGTCAGCCTTTCGTTCCAAATCCTTACACAACTACAAAGGTTCCTGCTCCATTGCTTTTTCATATGCTGACCTTAGCTACTTTACAGGGCTGTTTTGTTTGTTTATTTGAGACAGTTGTATGCCGTCCTTTGCGACAGCCCCAGGACAGCTTACACAAATAAAATTCCAACATAGATAATGATAAAATATTATAGATAACATAAAACATTCCACAGTACATCCTCTCTTAATAAAAATAAAGACTAAAACACGACTGTATACAAATTAGCAGTATTATTAAAATAGAATTAGCTGTTAAAATGAAGGTTAAATGAAAAGGTCTTTACCTGGCACCAAAAAGAGTAGAGGGTTGGCACCAGGCAGACCTCTCTGGGGAGCATGTTCCATAGTCCGGGTGCCACCACAGAGAAGGCCCTCCTCCACATGGAGACCCTCCATACTTCCCTCAAAGAGGGTTCCCGGAGCAAGGCCTCCCCTGCTGATCTTAAGGGGCGTGAGGGCATATAAGGGAAAAATTCAGGTATCCAGGACCCAAGCCGTTTAGGGCTTTATGGCTAAGTACCAGCACCTTGAATTGGGCCCGGAATTCAATTGGCTGTTGTGGTGAGAAAGCTGGTAATTAGATAAATCTACATGCACACCACCCCGAAGTCAGTGAAAGACTTTGTTCTGCACTAATTATCAGCTTAAGAGAAATCTCTTGTGCAGAATCGAAGGGTATCTTTCTGTTGAGGAGAAAACCAGACAGGTACACTTTTTAAACAAAATTCTGCAAGAGCACACAGAAGATAAACAGATGTGGACTTACAAAATATAGCAGGAAAAATGCTAGAGGGGAGATGGTTAACAAGCCCCCTGCCTCACTGCAGATCCGAATGGAAGTGGCAGCTTTTGATGTTGTCAATCCATCCTCAGAGAATCTTGAGTCTGATAGCCCTGATTCAATAAATAGCACTTTCTTTTCTGCCATTCTTTTTCACCTCCAGGCTGCACCCTCTATTGAAACTGGGTGCCTTCCTCACCGTGGTCCATCTCCTTGGTGGGGCAGTGCAGTCATTTTTAGATCATACAAGTTTAATTTTAGATTTAGAGTTTCAGTAAATGCTTTTGCCAGTCCTGCAGCTGCTTTGGGGGCGTTTCTGTGCCTTCTGCTGAACAGAAGCTTGATGTCAGCCCCTTGCCCTGCCCTTAATGATCAGAACTTATAAGAAAATCTGCTGATCATAACATATAACAGGTACACCCCCTTTGACCCCCATGTACTTTGAGATCAACAGGGAACAATCCTTCCTTCCTTCCTTCCTTCCTTCCTTCCTTCCTTCCTTCCTTCCTTCCTGCTTTGTTCTCTACCTTTCCACCAAAGCTGGTTCTCTTAGGGTTGCTCAGGGGCGCAATTAAATTGATTAAAACAATTTATTAAATGCAGGCATTTAAGGCTAACTGGATTATTCAGACACAGAGGGAGGAAGGAGGGAGAGAGGAATCAAAATAGTTGTGACTTATGGAAATACAGGGAATCCTTGACAGACAAAATTGCTCTTTTGAAAGTGCCCCTTCCCTTCCCTTCCCTTCCCTTCCCTTCCCTTCCCTTCCCTTCCCTTCCTTTGATTGCTTTCCTTTCCTCTTTGCTTTGCTCTGCCTCCCTTCCCTTCCCTTCCCTTCCCTTCCCTTCCCTTCCCTGAGGGGATGTCCAGCTGATTCTGCTGAATGGACCCTCCACTTCTGCCCCAAATTCTGTCCCTGAAAGCAGCATTGACCCCCATTTTTTTCCTTTTGGTTCTTTCGCAGAAAGCGGGCGGCATGCCATACCTTGGCCATGAGAGCAGGGAACCAAGCTGAGTCCCCAAAGCAGCACCATCCCAGCAAAAGCCTCCATCTCGTTTTGCCTGCCTGGCATCGCAGCACGGTGTTCTCTTAGGCACATCTGTCGATATTTTGTGGGGAGGAAGGTGAGAAGCCGGACCTTATTTTCCTTGCAACTTCGACTGTGGACTTGGAATCAAAGGGCACTTGCTAATGCCTCTGGGAAAGCGTTCTTACCTGCCCATGGCCAGGTGCCTCTGCCTCTTCATGAGACTGCACTGCAGCAGGTATGTATGTATGTATGGTTTTTGTATGCCGTCCCAGTTACTAAAAACGTCTCTGGGCGGCTTCCAGAGAGTGAACCAAAAACAGAACCCATAACAAACAAACAAACAAACAAACAGTGTGCCGCATCTAAAATAGGAATAAAAACAAGAATAAAACCAGTCAATTTTTAAAATACTGGGAGAATAAAAAATACAATAAAATAATAACAATAAAATAAAATGGATCAATATTGCGTCCATCACAGATGGGGGAAACCGGAACAGTGGCTTGGTGTCCCCCTGGGAAGCAGAGTGCTTGAACCCATGCAGAGACCAAAGGAAAGGAGTTTGGAGTGAGGAAAGGGGCCAACCCAGAGGTGCTGTTAGAAGAACCTGGCAGTTTTCATGGCAAGGCTTGGAGGAAAATGTGAAGCCTAACATAAAAGAGAGCATCTCTGAGCATACTGTGAGTGCCTTTCCCTCATGGAAGAGGTGGAAGAGGTCTTCCGTATGTGGGTGTTGAAATGGGAATTGAGACTTGCATTTTTATTTTTATTTTTGGTTGGAGGAGCTAAGCTATTGCTGAAGTCGAGCATTTCCCAGCCAGCAATCTGCTTCCAACAGCAACTGGCCAGATGCCCTCGGAAAACTCAGAAAGCCACAGCTACCCCAACCACTGCCCTCCAGGTGTAGGAATCATGCCAGTTCTTCCTTAAATTCCGTCCTTCCTTCCATCTTCTTGTGACATTGTGATTTACAAATCTGTCACATGCTGTGTAAAGGACTTCTTTTTGATCGCTTGCAGCCCACGAACCTCACTAGGTAACCTTGATAATTTATGGGCAGAAAGGAACTTCTCTTTGTCCAACCTCCCTAGGAATTTCCTAAATTTCTCTCAGATTGTCTGTATTTCTAAGCCAAAAGGTCACAAACATCAGTGGGATTTCCAGATCCTGGGCCTTTCCAAGTTCTAGAGTATTTTATTTATTTATTTAAAACATTTATAGGCCATCCTCCCATGCAAGGCAGCTCGGGACGGCTCACAATCAATGCATTAAAAACAATCAATAAAATCAAATACATTAAAACAATCCCAGCAATAAATAACATATAACCCATAAAATGCGACTGTTGCATTCAAAGTATCCCAGAAGAATTCCTGAATCCAAAGGGTATCCTTGCAAAAACCTGTGGTAAGTCTTAGAATCTCTGAGCTGGAATAGGGCCCCTTGCCCAAGGGGGGGGGGGGAATCACAAGGCCCCCCCTGGAAAAGATGGGGACAAGGCCAACTGAAATTGTTGTGAATGGTGCCCGTCTTCAAGGAGTGTCCCAGTTCCTCCTCCTCCTCCCCAGTCAAAGTCCTTCATCCATTTACTGGGTGTGCTCTGGCTCCCTTTCCGCCTCTTTAAGCACCCCTAATGGAGTGTTGCTAGGAAACAAGAAATTCCTGGGTACATTGGTACCTTGACCCCGATATTGCCACACACCCAGCTGTGCCCTTATCTGGACCAGGATGCCCTTGGTTTGATCTTTGGTCTTCTGTGAAACAACAAGCTAGATTCCTGCAGTGCGTTCTGTGTGACACTGAAGACAATGCTGAGATGCCAGCTTGTGCAAAACGTATCAGCCAGATGGAGGGCAGGGAATAAAGATCTGTGTGAATAACACAGGTCCTGGCCCACTTACCCTGGATCACAGTACATTTCCAAGCCCACTTCCAAATGCAGTCCAGCCAAGATACTTCTGACCTGTAACTTAGCTCAAGGGCAGAGAAGCAGAATTATTGCTAAATGCTTCTGTTGGTTTCAAGCACCAGAGAGGTTTGTTTGTTTGTTTGTTTGTTTGTTTAAAAGTATGTCACGAACTAAGACTGGCAAGAAGGCTTGGGTTTTGAGGAGCCAAGAAGGGGCTGGGGTCCTAATCTTCAGCTACGGCCCCTTCGGCACTGTGTGCAGCCACAAGCCAAGGAGTTTTGGATGGTCCATGAAACACCTTTGAGAGACCTTGTGTTGATGGACTTTGCAACAGGGACAGAAGTGACTATGGGTGATGCCTAGAAGGACCCCAGGTGATGCTGGGCATGTGGTACACCTCGCATCCCTCCACCACGACAGAGAAATTTGCGTCCTGCCAAGCCACACTGTTCTCAGAAGCGCTGAGCTCTCTTCCGTCGGTTCTGTCATCAAGTGCTTTCTTCTCGTCTAGTTTTGGGCCAAAAGCCCAATCTGAAAAAAGTGGAAAACAGAGAGAGAAAATTAACATCCCAGTGAACAGCCCTGCATTAGCAATCCAGAAGAAGGCATATCCTATGCTCTGGTTTGTTAGGATGAGAAATGTTTACATAGGGCTGCCCTTGAAAACGGTCTGGATACTTCAGCTGGTACAGAATAGAGCTGCCAGGATGCCAACAGGGACTGGTCATTATTCTCATATAATGCTGGTCCTCTACCAGTTCCAATGGCTCCCAGTTGAAGTCCAGACTCAATTCAAGGTGCTGGTTTTGCCCTATAAAGCCCTGAACGGCTTGGGACCGGGATACCTGAAGGAATGTCTCCTTCCTTATCTGCCCTCATGCCCCTTAAGATCAGCAAGGGAGGCCCTGCTGTGGGAACCCTCCCTGAAGGAGGTAAAAAGGACATCTACCCGGAGCAGGGCCTTCTCTGTGGTGGCGCCCAGATTATGGAATGTGCTCCCTGGAGACGTTCGCCTGGCGCCCAGCTTATACTCTTTTCAGCACCAGGTCAAAACTTTTTTTTTTAACTGGTATTTTAAAAACTAGTATTAATTGTAACAGTCACGTTTTATTGCTTTTACTGCTGGATTGTTTTAAGGTATGTAATTTTATTGATTGTTTTAATGTTTTGACTGTGAGCCGTCCCGAGATGCCTTGCATGGGGGACAGCATACAAAAGTTTTAAATAAATAAAACACACACACACAATAATCTTCATCAGAAGCTTGAAGCAACAAAGCATCCAAAGCAGGATGCCAAGGAAACCTGTGACAGACTCTAAAGAGCTCAAATTTTTCAGAATCTCTCCTGCAGATTTGCCATAGATGGGCTTTTCCTGAGTTGGGCAAATTCTGCAGAATTTTTGTTTTGTTTTGTAATGTTATGCCAGTTTAGTTGTAGAAAAATATGGAAAATTAAACCACAATCACCACCCAACTACGTATTCTTCCCCATAGTAAAAACACACATTTGGGGAAATTTGGATTTGTCGGGGTGTGTGAATTTGCACAAGTCAGATGAATGCATTAGCCCCAAATCCAGTTCCTTCAGTGGGTGGCCAGGTGAATTGATTGACTGACTGACTGTATGCCATCCTTTCGCAAAGGCTCAGGACGGCTTACATAAATAAGAAGAATAAAATAAAACATAATACAAATAAAATCCAGATCCACCCTGGCTGCAGATTAAAACCTATATAACTAATGTTAAAAGTTATTAAAATATTGTTGAAATATAAAGGTCTTAGCCTGGCGCTGAAAAACAAGTAACGACGGCGCTGCGGGCATTGGCAAAGCGTGGGCAGAAACGTTTGTCGGCGTCGGCCCGTCCCTGATCCCAAAGCTTTTCTGCATGCGCACGGCTGATGCCCACCAGCTGCTCACCAGCAAAGTCATGTACCAGGTCGTTGATGAGGTGGCCCACAATGGCGTAGGCCACGAGCACCACGATGATAGTGGCCATTACCAAGTACAGGATGTCACGAGGAATGAAGAGGGAATCCAGGGAAGGGAGCCGGTAGTCCGTGAAGGGGGAGTCCTCCGTCACACCCTGCGTCTGCATCAGATGCCGGTGGGACCACGGTTCATCACCCGGCATCTCCCCCGCCTGAAGCACCGCAGTGTGCTCCGGCTGGACCGAAAGGAGCCCTGCAAAGACCCGGTCCTGGCGGTCCCCAGGCAGCCTGTGGAAAAATGGGTGAAGTTGCTTAGACAGGCAGATAACGTTCCCCGCTTATTTATGTATTCCTGTTGTTCTCTGCCTGAATACCAAGAAACATAGCTCTCAGTGCAACTTCCAGTCACAAACCCCTCCTCCTCCTCCTCCTCCTCCCCTCCCCCTCCCCCCCTCCACCATCAACATCGCCTTCTCCTCACTCTCGCTCTCCCTCTCATCTCTGTCTCATCCTTTTCCTTCTCCTCCTCATTTCTGTACTGGCCAAGAACTGAGGTTCTTGGGGCATCTTGAAACATTTCACAAAAAACAAATCACAGGATTAAAAAGCACGGCTGTGGAGGTGGCCCGTAGAAGAAGGTTCCGCTTTAATGGCGGTGCCACTTTGGGACTCTGCCAGATACTGTAGTCAGTATCCATGACAAGCATTATAAGATGTTTGTTTGTTTACTAGATTTATATCCTGCTTTTTTTCTTACAAAACTCACACCTTGAATTGGGGTCTGCAGCTTGCATGCCAGCTGGTGCCAACGGATGAGAATTAGTGTGATGTGCTGCCTTTTGTACACGCAGCGGCTTCTGAACAGCCTTCCAGGGCAGCCCCACAAGGAATGCATTGCAGTAATCTAACTTGGAAGCTACCAGCTTCCTGGAGCCAGAAATAGGGATGTAGCTGGGCCAGAAACTGAAGCTGGCAGAAGGCGCTCCAGGACACTGAGGCGACCTGAGCTTCAAGAGACAGAGGAGGCTCTGGGAAACCCTCAGCTAAGAATCTGCTTTTTCAGGGGCAATGCAGCCTCCACCCGAACAGCCAACCCCTCTCCATTCAGTCAGCATTGCCTGCATTGAGCTTCCTTTTATTAACCCTCACCCAGCCCAATGTCACAGCCAGTCTGGCACACCCGCAGCCTGAACTGAGGATGAAGAAGATACGCCAAGCTATACCTCACTGGTCTGCTGTAAGCACACACACCAAACCCCTTGATGACCCCACTGGATGGCTTTACGAACAAGCCAACCCCAAAAGAACCCATAATGGAGCATCCAAGGGGCTGAGCAGTATCCCCCAAGAATTAGCCATCTGAGGAGGATGTGCAGGTGAAGTTTCTCCACTTCCAGTTGAGTCATCCCAGAAAGACACGCTGGTTAAGAACCCCAAAAGCTGCAGAGGTCAAGCTAGTTGCTCGAGAACCGTGCCTGGGAAAGGCACGTTGGCCCAGGCCAAAAGTTGTTAAGATCTTCTGGGTCCGGGGGAAGTTTCTTTGGAAGCGTTCTCCACATTGTCTCTTTGAGGCAGCCTGGGACCACCCCTTCTCACAAGGAGGCGTTCATCACCTCTCTGCCCTGACAGGCTGCTTCCCTCCCTGCCAGTTTTTATAAGCCAAGCAGGGAAAGGATCCAAAAAAGCTGTTCCACAAACTTGTCCGAGCACTTTGGCAGCGTCCTCCTCGAGCTGAACCAACTGAAACGGTTCCAAGAGAACGGAGTAGCTTGTGCTCTGGAGGCTTCACCTGATTCACGTGCTTTCTAGTTTTGGAACCCTTGTCCCCTCTTGGATGATGGATAGGAGAGGTCATTTTATGCGCCAAACTGGCAGTGAAAAGCAGGAAAGCCAAGGACCAAAGCCCGGCACCATCATGAGCTGTCTGGGGCACGCTCCCTTTACCTTGCTGGCAATAATCTTTTATTAAAATGATCATCAAATTAATGCATTAAAGCACAACATTAAAAACAGCAGTCCTGTTGGTTTAGAGCATGGGTCCTCAAACTACGGCCCACGGCCTGCATCCGGACCTCCATGCTGATTCATCCAGCCCGCCTCAGAGCTTTTGGACTTGTTTGGAGAAAATGATCTCTGAGCAAGTCCAAAAGCTCTGAGCCGCCGCAGGAATACTCAGTGGGGAGATGGCTGTGATCATGGACATCCTCGGGAGGTGGGAGGGAGATGGCCACGATCGCGTCCACCTTCCCCCTCACCGCACGATCACGGACATTATAGCTCTGTCCCTTGAATAAGGACATGCTCTTCCCGACCTCATCTTGGGCTTCTGCTGCAGCCCAAGCGAGCAGAGCAACATTTTTTAATTTTTAATTATTTTTTTAATTTTAATTAATTTTTAATGTGCACTGTGCATAGCAATTTGTTCATATTTTTTTCAAAATACAGTCCGCCTCCCCCAGCAGTCTGAGGCCCCCTGCTTAAAAAGTTTGAGGACCCTGGTTTAGAGCAAAGCCGACTCCAGACCAGTATGTATTCACAAAACTGGTTATAGATTTGGCAGGGATTTCTGGTATGACTCCCAGCTGAAATGCACAATGCAAATTCAGGAGGGGCAGCTTTCTAGCTATTGTTGGATTCCAATTCCCAACATCCCTTGGTAGATAGCTCCAGAGGGCTTGAGTTAGCATGCTTAATAGCCCTAGGCAGTTTAGCTAGGTTTTCAACCCACTAGTAGACTTCCAAAAACAACTGGGGGAAATACATTTTTCCAAGTCAGGAGTTTAGCTGTTAGTTCAGCCTCCAGCTGCTCCCCATCTCTGGAACTCCCTCCTTATAGAAATTGGCCTGGAGCTGTCTTTATTTTCCTTTTGAAGCCAGACAAAAACATATCTTTTTAGAAAATTTTTAACACTTAGCACCTGAATGCTGTGGCCCTTTTTATATTGTTATATCTTCTAATTCGTTCATATTTTAATAGGTTTTTAATGTGTTTTATTTGGCCACCTAATGAGAAGGAAGGACTCCCTGGAGAAGACCCTGATGCTGGGAACGATGGAAGGCCAAAGGGGAAGGGGACGGCAGAGGATGAGGTGGCTGGATGGGGTCACTTAGGTAGACTCTGGGGGATGGTGGAGGACAGGAAGGCCTGGAGGAATGTTGTCCATGGGGTCGCGATGGGTCGGACACGACTTTGCGACTAACAGCAACAACAAATGTGTTTTATTATGTTTAATGTATTGTAAGCCACCTAGGAAGGCATCTGCAGTTATAGGTGGCATATAAATATATGTACAAACAAGCTGAAGTTTCTTGTTTTCCCCCATAGCTCCCTGAACTCAACTCTCGCTGAGAATTCCCAGCATTAATTCAACAACCCATTTCTGGAATCAAAGCAGAAAATGATGCTTTCTCAGACTATGAAAAATGTTGTAAGATTAATTGCTTCCAGGCTGGGTAAGTCTTTTTGGTATGGTGCATTTGGTGCAGTAGACACTAAATAAGAAATGTGGAGTTTTAAATGTGATGACTCTGTTGCAATGGAGATTATGAATAGGAATTCTTGCGTTGATGGGATTAAGATAATATGCAGAAAAAGGAGGAAACAGGTTTAGTAAACAGTCTGGACAACAACGTGATTAAATCAGAGAGAGCCAGAAGTCCATCAAGACTGGGTTACTAGTTCTAACTTGAAATAAAATATCTAACTGGGACACTGCACAAGAAAACAAGAGGAATATCACAATGTCACCCAGAGAGGGACTCATTCCAAGACCCCTTCCTGAGTTCATAATGAAATATGGATACTTTGAAGTATGAAAAATCACAGATCAAACATGGGAAATACAGAGAATACTCAAACACACATCAAAGAACACACTGCCTTGGCACAGGTACCTTTCGATGGCTTTGTGCCACCCAGGAAAGATGCTGCAACCAAATCACAGAGAAGCCAACTCCAGGCTAACAAGACACCGCACGGTAGATGCAGATCCTTGGAACACGGCTTGCTGGTTGAATGACAGGACAAATATATACCCTGTGTGCATGGAGGAAATCAGGGCTTTTCCTCTCCTGTCCCTTCCCAAGCCAGAGTTTCTGAATTTTAAAAGAAATGTATGCAATAGATACACTGCCTTACAATTGCACAACTGACACTAGACTGCTCTTTGTTTCTGCTTCTGTTGGCTTTGCTATAATAAAGAGATTCTTTGCACTGTGTATCTCCATTTCAGTAAGAGCAGAAGGCAGGAGGGAAAAACAGAAGCGAGACATATGTTAGATTCCAGTGAATAATCCAGAGCCTCTTCAGGAAATGTGTGGTTAATACACTGAAGTGTTAATTCCAGTGTGGTGTAGTGGTTAAAAGTGTCGGAATGGGACTCAGGCTACCGGGGTTCTAGTCCCTGCTCAGCAAAGGAGGGCACTGGGTGAGCCAGTCACAGACTCTCAGCCCAGCCTACCTCGCAAGGTTGTTGTTGTGAGGATAAAATTCAGAGCAGGAAGACGAAAATGATGCAAGCTGCTTTGAGTTCTTGGTAAGAAAAAGGCAGGGTATAAATTGAACAACAACAACAGTCCTAAGTTTAACAGCATACACACTCTTTTTAGTCCCGCAGTCTGTTGTTAAATAGACTGGGCAGGATTTTGTAGGGGGACAGGGAAGTAAGGGGAATAGGGAATCAGAGTTTACCTCATACGCAGTAGTGGTCCTCCTGTATTCGAATAAATAAAAAAACACACCACCAGCTATCACATTTCTAACATAAGATGTAAACCTGTCTTGTTTCTGGATCTGTATGTGAACCCTTACCTGCTCATGCGAAAGAGCTGAACAGCAGTGCAAAGACGTTGATCAGTTCAGGTGCAAATCCGAAGATGTCTCTGGTCTGTGGCATTTGGTCCTTTTAGTTTCCAGAGTCCACGGGCGCAAACAGATAGAGGAAGCATCTTTCTGTGGCTGGATTTTGTTTGGGAAAACCTTTGGAGGAAACATGCTCATTTGCTGGAATCTCCCCAGTCCAGCAAGGACAAAACCATTGAGCTGATCTTTAAATTGGGCAACAGATGGCATTGAATCCACCGAAGGATGAGCCCTGGAGCGGAATTGTGGTGGAGCAGGGGTACTGCGGTTGATTCTGGGGAGGAGGGGAACTGGCCGCTAATTTAGGCACAGAATCTCCCTTCTTCATCTGATCATTGTTACCTTTGGTTTTAACCATCCAGGGAACCTTTCGGGCTGATGAGTGGGGTAGAAATGGAATAAATAATAAGGAAGGAAAGCATATACCTATGTGGAGGGTTGGAATTTGGTTTTGCCTTGGAATATAGGGAGACAAGCGTCTGTCTTCAGAACAGCTAAAGCATCAATCTATTTTTAAGAGGGGTCCAAATAGATCCACATGTACCTGGGATGTGTCATCTTCCCAACTCAAGGTTCAAGAGCTTTAAAAAAACAACTGTACCCAATGCTTGGTAAAATACATACATGCCGTAATCTTCAGATCTGCAGGGCTCAAAAACAGGGTTCTAGGTGCAAGACTAGCAAATGAAAAGGCATGCATTAGCTGAAGAAGTGGGAGTCTTTTGGATGGGCTAGATGGAAAAGTGAACAACACTGGAAGCCATGCCAGGAGTTGAAGGGAATAAGGGGCCAGGTGGCGAAGTGACGAACACACAGAATGTGTAAGTCTGCAGGCTCCTTATGTGCAAAAAATGCACTTGAGAGTCTTTTAATGGAAGATCAAAGGGGCACCTTTCTGTTTGAAATAAATGTGGGAAACAAGCCCCTCCCCCAGGAATGGGTCTATTAATAGGCATGAAATAAAATAAGTAAGAGGATTGTTGGATATTGAGGACGGAAGTACTTTTGCAGAGAGAAATGAATGGGTGGGTACAGAAAGCTTCTTCAGCCAAACTGATCCCAGATTATGTGTCTAGGGTTTAACATCTGGAACAGATCAGCCCTGGCAAAAATGTTTTCAAGGTCACAAAAATTGAGATTATGACCCTTGATGTTCCAGGCTGTTTCCCTAGGGGTGCTTCAGAAATTCACAGCCAAATTCCTCCCCAGGCAATTCCTCAGCTGCCCAGAGAGGTTTGGCCGTCCAGCAGTACAGTAACAATAAACACCAATAAACCAGGTTGCTATTCCAGGCCAATTTTTGCTTAATTTTATGAACTAAGCTCAGTGGAAACCGAAAGGAACCACCCCCACAAGAATCCGGTCCCAGGTGAAATCTCTCAGGTGTTATGACTGGAAGAAGGGCAATAGCCGCCTACCACAATGGTCCTTGATTTAGCTTTCAATTAACAATGATCATGACATCTGGAACAAGAGTTCTGGGTTGTTTAGGGGTTAAACAGTCCAAACATCACAAGAATGCAAGAAAAGGATGTTCCTGGGTTGTTGATTGCAAGCAGAAGCAATGAGAGCCCAGGAATAACATGTGAGCTTGCAGTCACCATCCCCAGCAAAATGCAAAGGGTGCCATGCAGGCAAGGATCAGTTAAAATGGTCTGTGGGTGCCACCTGCCAAAGGCCATGGCTCTGGAACTCACCAGCAGAACCAGACAACCCTAGAACCTTGCCCGATGCTGTGAATGGGTTTGCTTCTGTGGGTATTGCCACCTCCTGATATTTCAGAGGAAATAAATATGTTGGCCAACACTTACTTGCAAGCGATGACTTCTAGAAGGTGTGTGTTTGTGGGGGGTCAGTTTTGCACACATTCCTGGAAAAAGAGACACCTGCTTGAGCAGGAAAGGAATGAAGGGTTGGACAGTTCATGCGAGAAGCATCTTTTTGTGCTAAAGCTCAACTTGATTGCGGGTGGGCGGGGTGTTAAGAAGAGAGAAAGCCTGTTTTAATTCAGAAATGGAGATCTCTCTATCAGAAACTGTGCCAAAAGAAACAGGAGCTGTTCTGATGGGACAAACACTAACCCCCCTTAAAGAGAACAAGAGACGCTTCTGATAGCCATGATTTATTTCCCAGTACCTTGCTCTGCAGTTGTAAACAGAAATTGGGGTTTTGCTACCACCTTCTTGCAAAAGAGCCGCAGGATGGGGTCCGGCTGAGCTTTGCAGCAACTTATACTCCCACCTGAAAGAGCTTTAAAAGCGCCCACAAACACCCAGTTTGCCAATGAAAAGACCCCACCACTTCCAGAGCTGCTATACACCCTCCCCACTAGGAAAACACCCAGAATGTCCTCCTAACAGAAGGGACAAGCTTCTGACGTGCAGGTTGTGTTTCCAACAGCTGCTGGCTTCCCTGTTCTCGGGAGAAGTGTTCTGATGAAAGACCAGCGCGTTATTTCCCCATCGCAGCTTCTGCGGTTCCCTTGCAGGGGTCCCACTTCCACAATTTAGACCCTTTGGAGCTCAACTAAAGCCGAGTAGCATCCCTGCCAGCTAGGAAGCAAATCAAGCTTAGGCTGAGGTGGTAATGTGGTAAAAAGTGCCACATGATTAGCATTTTTGGCACCCAAAGCAGAGCTGCGCGCAGCCCTGAAATACATCCCACCTTAGTTGCCTGACTCTGTTTCTTCTCAGACTCAAAGGGATAAACATGGTAAGCTTCTAGTCCCTATTGTTCTAGAAAAAAATGAGAAGTCAAACTGCTTTTTTAAAAGTGATGGCTATGCAGTGTAAAAACATGGGAATAACAGGGTGACAAAGCGATCTGGCTTGATGGATTTCAAAGCTGGGCCACATTCACTCAAAAATGGGAAGGCAAGGAACTCCCTGCCTGCAGCAAGATGGAGAAATGCCTCAGCTGCTGGGGCGTGCCAGGGTTGGCACGAGGAGGGTCCCTGAAGCCAGTTTCCAAATAATTCCAAGGGGAAGCCATTCTACTGATTTTTAAAAATTATATTAATCACCCACAGAACAGAAAATCCACGAAGTTTAGAAGTAACAGCTCCCTCCACCAAGATAGGAAAGGACTCAGCGAGCTGGGCAACTGGAACTTCCCCCACTTCACTTCCCGTGCTACAGAGAGCCAAGCTGCAGGGGATGGCAACCTAGGAAGAACAACAGGGCACAGGGCAAATGCCCCCCAGACAAGGACAGGTGCCCCTGACCCCCCCCTTCAGTTCAAGCTTTTTAGTTTGCTCAGTCCGTCGGCGTACTGGAACTCGGAGCTGTTCTCGTAATCATACATGTCCAGCGCCACGACGCAGCTCTCGCGGACCACCTGCTCTTTGTCCTGGGCGTAGGTCTTCAGGGTGGACAGGCAGGAGGCCTTGGCGATGGCGCCCAGGGCCTCGGCGCACTCGTGGCGCACCATGGGGCTCTCAGCCACGCTCGCCAAGGACGCCGTCAGCTGCGGGACGCAGGCCTCGTGCTGCATCTGGCCCAAGACGTAGGCGATCTCGTGGCGGAAGAGGGCGCTGCCACACCGGAGGCCTGGGGGAAGAGTGAGTGGCATGCAGTGACACACACGACAACACCAGACGCCCGCTCTTTGCCAGCGGAGCCCCAAGGTTTGGGGGCTCTGCTGGCACCCTCACATATGCATGCATCGCTATCATGTCCCCCTCCCCGAAAGTTTGCTTTTGGAGAGCACGGGGTGGAAACGGCCGACTTGCAAGGAGTCTGCCTCTTCTTTTTGTGTGCTGGGAAAGCCCAGAACAGGGACTCCTGCAGAGGTGAAAAGAAGGACTTCCTCCAAGGACAGATAATCATGCAACAGAGGCCACGATCCAAAGGAAAGCCAGCTGTGGTCTCAGGGTGCTCTGCAGCCGTAGCAGGAAGGGCAAAAACACTGAGATTCCTGTAGTCACAGCTGGTCAAACAAGGCCCTTTTTAGCTCTGCCTTCTCATGGAAAAGTGGTGTTGGCCCATTTCTGCAAGGCCCTCCCTCAGTGGACAGAAAATTATAATTACAATAGTCATTCCCCAAAGAGCTTCGCCTGGCGCAGAGTTTATATTCTTTTTGGTGCCAGGTTAAAACCTTTTTATTTAAACGGTATTTTAAAAATTAATATTTTAATGGTTTTTAACATTCACTTTTATTTGATTTATTTTAATGTTTATTTAATGTATTATGCATTGTTTATTGTTTTTATTGAGATTTGTATTATTTTTATTGTTATTTATATTGATATTTTTATAAGTTGTCCTGAGGCTGCAGCAAAGGATGGCATATAAATATTTTAATTATTAAATAATTTATAATCCTATGGGCTTCCCCGGGAGGTGGCTGAGGCCCCATCGGTGAGGGTGTTCAAGGATAGGCTGGACATGCACATGGTAGGCATGTCGTGAGCAGAGCCAGCTGGAGCCGGGGGGTCAGACTAGATGGCCCAGGAAGGTCCTTTCTGACTCACCGTGTTTCTGTTTCTATGAAATATGTCGGTCGACCGGGAAGAAAACCCGATACTTTGGGAAGAGGACAGAATAGCATAAACCTGTGACGAACTATTTCCCTTCTCAAAAGCAGGGAAAGTTACAGGATTAGCATTACCAGAGTTGTGTCACAGCCACAAGAAGCTTTTCTTTCCTCATAGGGAGACTGCGTCCTTTTGAGAAGGCTGCGAGATCAAAAAGCCTTTCCCAAAGAGCAGTGACAGGTTTCCCACCCAACACGTTCTGAGGAAGTGTTGCCACGCACCATCAGCCAGGGCCAGGACAGCGGCTTCTCCCCCAAGGTTTCGCAGGGCAAACATCGCCCGGTACCGCTCGAAGAGGGGCTGGGAGTCATCCAGGAGGACTTCCTTCAACTTCCCCACATCCTGCTCCTCCGCGGGTGGCGCGGGGTCTACGGAGGAGTAGGGGCTGTCCCCAGGCGACTTGGTCTTGTTCTCCTGAAGCCATTCCAGCCTCTTCACGGCAAGCTGACATGTCTCCGCAACCTGCACAGGACGGAAAACAGAGCCTGAGATGTGTCTTCCCATGCTTTTTACGCTTGCTTCTTTCCAGATGAGCTGGAGGGCAACGCCAATAATTCCCAGCCAGCACAGGTGAGACAAAGGTTATCTTAGAGCGTTCTGGCCCAGACTAGTTCAGCTTCCACATTAAGCGGGGAGGCCGATTTGCTCTGGCTGAAGTGTCTGGAAGCCAATCTTTACCTCAATGACTGGGTCGTTCGAGTAGCGCTTCAAGAGATCCAACACTTTTGGATTCCCAATTGCTCCCAAAGCTTCACCTGTGGAAGGCAGGAAAGCAATGAGAAATCTCAAGAAAGATGCGCGAGTCACAGGCTGTTACGAGTAAAGGGAATACGATGCAACCCTAAAAATTGTTATTATATTTTCTATACCATCTGTGGCTGGGTGGTTCATAACATCAAGTCACCCATCCAGATTTTAACCAGGCCCGACCCTGCTTAGCCTCCAAGATTAGGCAGGATAAGGCACTTCAGGCTGTATGGAAGTTATAGGGCATCTGAACATTTAATAGGGGGGCTCCTGACCCCAGTGGCATCCTAACACCAGCCATCTGATTCAAGTAGATTCTAAAACTTAGGAGCCGTTCACTTCCTTCTTGTGATTTCTGTAGCCACCCACTGATGCCAGGATCTGGGCCAATTCACGTGATGCCACCCAACCTGGGGAGAAGCCAAATGGTTCAGTCCGCCATTGCTGGGCCCTTCCGGTTCTCCTGCCAAGACAAGGGACATCACAGAAACTCCCAGTTGCCTTCTGCTGTGAAGACCAGCTGTGATAGCTTGTTGCAGCTTCACCCGTTTACCCCTCTTTATACTCGCTTCATTCAGTTGTGCCCGTTTCCACGATTCCCCACCAGGCAGAATTTCCTACCGCCAGATGAAAAGGGCTCGAACCAACTTTCAGATGGGGTCTGAAGCATCTGAACCCTGCCCTGATTCAATATTTTGGTGTTATACAAAAGCCGGGACGGCAGCGTTTTCCACCTGCTTCGTGCCGGACCATGGGTTCCTGGCGGGTATCTTGCAGCACATCAACAAGGACAGGAGTAGCTCGTTCATCCTGCATCTGCCCCAGGCAGTAAGCCAGTTCATGTTTGAGGAGAGCAGAGTCGTCTGCGAAGGCCTGGCTGATCCATTCAATGGCTTCTGGCCCCCCGAGATTGCGTAGGGTAAAGAGTGCCCGGAAGCGAGCGGTCAGGGTCTGTTTGGGGTCCACTAGGATCCTGCCGATCAGCTCGACCTCCTTCTCCGTCACCATGGTGTTCAGCTCGTGGATCCAGACACAGATGCCTGCTTCAGGGCACTAGAAGGACCTAACCCTGAAAGAAATCGAGACCTTCTGTAAAGAGACCTGCCTTCCCCCACTTACACAAGGCAAAGCACTGCCAAATTTCACCGAGTTTAAAAACTTTCCCAGAGACTATGAATATTTATGTCAGTGCATTTAAGCTGGAGAACAGCCAGTGTGGTGTAGTGTTTAAGAGCATGGGACTGAGACGATCTGGGTTCTAGTCCCCGTTCAGCCATGGAACCAACTTTGGGCCAGTCACAGACTCTCAGCCCAATCTACCTCGCAGGGTTGTTGTTGTGGGGATAAGGAGGAGGAGGAGAATGATGTAAGCTGCCTTGAGCCCTTTGTAGGAAAAAGGCAGGATATAAATCGATAAACAAACAAACAGAAAAACAGCCATGCTGGATCCAAACCAAGGTCCGTTTAGTCCAGCACTCCGTACACACAGGGACAAACCAGCTGCCCACAGGATCCCTCCAGCAGGATGGGTGAAAGACTCCCACCCAGCTCCTCAGCAACGAGTGCATGCAGGCATGTCGCCTCTGGTGAAGGCGAGAGCCCATGGCCAGCAAGGCTAGTAGCTACAGCTGGCTGCCTCCCTCGTGAATCTCTCCAATCCCTTTTTAATGGCTTCCGGATTGGCGGCCATCACCGCTTCCCATGGCAGCGAACTCCACAGTCTGACTGCACACCGCATGAAGACGTCCTTCCTTTTATCTGTCCGAAATGTCCAACCCATTAACTTCATGGAATGACCCCGGGTTTGAGCATTATGGGAGAGAGAGAGAAATGTCCCCTCTCCACTTTCTCCACACCAGGCATTATTCAAACACCTCTATCCTGTCTCCCCTTCCTCTCTTCTGAAGGAAATTCAAAACGATTCAGACACGCAAAGCCTAACATTGGACATGACTGATCACAGCCAGGGTCTGTTCTGCTCACAGTGACCCACCAATGGAACGCTGGACACCCACCAACTGGGCACGTTCAGTTTCATGAAGAGAAGACTGAGGGGTGAAAAGACCACTCTGCAAGTCCCTCCAAGGCTCACAAAAAGGAAGGCCAGGGTCTTTCCTTGTTCATTCCAGAGTGCAGGATACGAAATAACGAGCTTTAGTTAAAAGAAAGCAGATAGACTGGACACCAGGAAGGATTCCCTCACTGCCAGAGCAGTATAATAATGGAACCTATTACCTGGGGAAGTTGTGGGCTCTCCGTCACTGGAGAAATTCAAAAAGCATCTGGGCAGCCACCTGAGTGGGATGGTGTAACTTAATGCCCTGCAAAAGCAGGGAATTGGACCTGATGGCCTTCTGGCCCCTTCCAACTCTACTATTTTATGACTCTAAGCAGATGATCCTTCAACCTGGGGATTGGAGCTCTGATTGGCCTCCTCCTGTGACCACCATGGAAAGAATGGGGCTGGCTGCCTCGCCAAGGCCAGGAATGCAGCCTGGGAGAGGGATAAAAGCAGATGCTTTGATGGGCAGGGAAGGGAGAAGGCTAGCGAAGCCAAGATGCACAGAGTCTTTCCTCCCACTCTGAAACACCTCACTGGGCAGATAAAAGACCCATCTAAGAAAACACGCCAGGAGGAAGGTAGGGGAAACCAAGACCACCGGTGCCACTCTCCCTGCCCTGCACAAGATGCTCATAAGTTTCTGGGTGTGTAACCCACATGACTGCACCCACAAAAAACAGTCAGAAATTTGAACAATGCAATTATTATTCTGGGGCAATAGCTTGCAGAGACAAACGATGCACGAATGAACTAACAGACATTTAAGCTTGCAATCTGAACCGTGTGCAATGTGAAATATTAGCTGAGCTCTCCAGAATAATTGGGCTCAGGCATGTGCTGACTCTCTCGTATGGGAGACTTGCTGGGGCAAGACAACAGGAGGAAGGGATTAAGTGAATTGGGAGCCATAACATGCATGAGGAGGAGGAGGAGGAGGAGGAGGAAGAGGTGAATGCCCAGAGCAGAGAGAAAGAAGGCGAGAGGATCTGTGCCAAGGCAAGAAGAGAAAGGGGAAAGGAACTTGGCCAAAATATACCCAGATTTTTAGTGCTTTATGACTCCTGTTTCCTCAAAGTGAGCTTGCAACAAGCACGGTGCTGTGAACTCTCAAGGTTGACTGCATCTTCTGGACAAGGTACCAACCTTGCAAACGAGATCATGTGAAGGGAGCACAAGGAAAGGTTCCAGCCATGAGCTGACCAAGGAAGGATGCCATGAGCACTGGGATCTGAGCAGAGGTTTAAAAAAAGCATCCAAGCTGGACCAGGCGCACTACAGGGAAAAGGGAGTGGAGGCTATGGTTGTAGCAGGCCTACCTGAAGACTGGGGGTGTGGGGGGGGGAGATACCTTTCCTAGGGCTGGAAAGCCCATTCATAAAGGTGGGATTAAAGGGGATTGGTCCATAGTTCAGGCCAGTGTGCAGAAATACACTTGAACATGAGGCTCAGAACTGATCCATGTTCTGGGCAGGCAGTGGAACTGCCAGGGGAAAGTTAGTCTCGGAAAGAGTGAACCCTCGTCTTTTGAACATTCCTTCAGGGCCTTTCCTGCCCTGGGTTGTCCAAGGCAAAGCAGAATGCTGGTTTTGTCTTTCTCCATCTACAGAAGAGATGACTGGATTGCTTGGGAAAGCACCAGGAATCCAAGCGTCTGGCAGTATCAGCTTGTGAAATTAAACCCTTCAAGGAACCACTCTGAAAAAGAGGACGCTTGATACTCAAACCTCTGAGGTCTCAAACCTTTTAAAGAGCCCACATAACAAGTGGCATGCCTTTATCCCAGTTAATTTAGCAAAACCTCCCTGTGCACTGAGAAAAGGAGCTGATTCATTCCCCCTCCCTGTCCCAGCCAGGACACAAAGGGGCCATTTGGTCACTCTCGGAGGTTGGGAAAGGACCCCCCGGGTGTGGGGGGGATGTTTCTGCAGTAGGGAAGACCCAACCGGACTGCCCCCAAAATGTGTTACAAAACCAGTCAAGGAAAGCATTATAAATGCAGCATTCTATAAAATTACTAATAGCGTGAATGAGCACAGGTCAGACCAGTTTCAGTAAGTGCAAGGGATGCGATGCCAGCCTGATCTAACGATCAAACCTGTAATTGATTTTTCCCAGACAATGCAAAGAGAAGCGCAGGTCACTGAGTTGTCCCTCTTGAACATTAGTAAGAAATTTGCTTCCACTGAAAGGTTTAAACATGTTTCAATCCAACATCTAAGATGAATGGATTCTGCAATCCTATACATTTATTCATTTATGCATGTGGATGTTTTAACAGGCCCTGCTGAAATCACTGGGATTATTTTTGAGTACACACAAATAGGAAGAGCAGTGCCATTGGTTCAGGCCCCCCCAAATTTCAGCTCATACTTCTGACTACTGGGAAAGTTTAAGCAAAATCCACATTGTATGCTTTAAAAAAGTTTTGCTGGTTAAATATAACAGTTACACAAACGTGTTCAAATAGACCTGGACTGAAGTCCGGACTCAATTCAAGGTGTTGGTTATCACCTATAAAGCTCTCAGCAGCTTGGGACCTGGCTATCTAAAGGAGCGCTTGTGTCCATATATGCCCTCCCGCCCCTTAAGATCGGTGGCAGAGGCCCTTCTCCGGGAACCCTCCATGAATGATATTAGGAGGAGGGCTTTCTCTGTGGTGGCGCCCCACCTATGGAATGCGCTCCCCAGAGAGGTCCGCCTGGCGCCGTCGTTGTTTTTCGGCACCAGGTGAAGACCTTTTTATTTAAAACGTATTTTAATTGTTAATTTATTATGTATTTATAGGTTTTAAAATTTTTAAGCTGAGATGTTACCAGGTTTTTAAAATTTTTAATTGTATTAATTTGTTATTTATATGTTTTAATTAGGTTGTGAGCTTCCCCGAGGCTTTGTTGTGATGGGGGCGGCATAGATATGTTTTAAACAAACAAACAAACAAATAAATAAATATTGTTTGAAGATCATGGTAAGCATTTCTGGAAAAGCTACATCACTGCTAAAGTTTCAGTTCCTACTGGCATCCTAGCATGATAGATGTACCCATAAATTTTGACTTATAGGTAGCTTTGTTTAAGCCTGGGAAGACTCCTATTATATTACTCTTGGAAGGAACAAATTATAGGTCAAATGCACATACTGCCACATGAATGAGATCTGGCCATCTTCTCCCAGGGTATAATTGCAAAATTACGAGGAAAGTTACAATCCGTTCCCACCTAATCCAGCTTCCTGCAGTTTGACATCTTGGTGTCTGTAGCTACCCTGTTTCCCCAAAAATAAGACCTAACCAGAAAATAAGCCCTAGCATGAATTTTCAGGGATACTCGTAATATAAGCTCTACCCTCAAAATAAGCCCCAGTTAAGATCGTCAGCCAGATGGACACATTTAGTATGTCCATTGCAACACAATTCGAGGTTTGGAGAGTTAAGGACGATGTTCCAGAAGAAGATGACATGACTGTATTTGAATAAATGTAGACTTTTGTACATGAATAAATGAATAAATGCAAATGGTCATACATGAAAAAATAAGACATCACCTGGAAATACGACCTAATGTGTCATTTGGAGCAAAAATTAATATAAGACCCGGTCTTATTTTTGGGGAAATACGGTACGTGTTAATTTCTAAGGCACAGCAGTGAAGTGCCATGTGAAATGAAACTGACTGCAAAGGTCTGTTCCCAGGTTAGGAAAGGCTGTCCTAAGACCTGTTTAGAGTCGTCTGATCTAGTAGCCAGAACTCCACCTGGGAATCAAAGAGCCCTGCGGGATTATAAGCACTGTTTTAGTCCAGCATCCCATTTCCAGATGATGGCCACGATCAGGGCTGAAAGGAAACTGCAACTGGGGCAGGGTGAGTGTTGCAGGGGAGTTAACCAGCATTTTGCCCCAAAATGCAGAACATGCATTTAGCTGCCATGGGCACTTTCAGCTGACAAGTCTACCCTGGGTGAATTTATATTACAGAGCCACAAAAAATGTCCTGCTGGAGTTAGACAGAGGATTCATCTAATCCACGCTCCAAGCTAAGCACATTCCCCTCCAGGCTGTGGACAGGGAGGAGATGAAGTGCACAGCTTGCTAATCATAGCATCTCCCTAATTTTACTTTTTCTGTGTCATGTAATTAAGCTTGGCATAAAGTATCATATTTAGCAAGATACAGCTGCATCTGTGAACACCTGTGCGGATAAGAACAAGCCAGTTTTCTAAATCAGATGCAAATATAATTAAAACTGAGTGCTGGTTTCATTCTGTCTTTTTCTAGGTGAAGAAAGTTCATCCTGATGAATTTCCTTCAGCCCTTCCCCTCCCCACTCCGCAAATTCAAACCATACCATCACCATTATTTTAATTCATTGTATTTGCATCCAGCTTTTTTTTCCTCTTGTACAAAACCCAGGGGGACTTACCTCACTCTAGTTTATCCTCAAAACAACAACTCTGTGAGGTAGGCTGGGCTGAGAGTGACTGGCTCAAAGTCATCCCGTGGGGACTAGAACCTTGAATCTAGATCACCTGAATCTAGTCCAGCATTGGAACCACCACACCACATGGGTACCGTACCATATATTCTCAACCTATGACAATTCCCAGAACACATGCAGAGACGTGCAAATTGGCACAGCACTGATGGGGAACCTGGTAAGTGCGTAGTAACAGAACGCATACAAAATTTAGGGTTTACGTAGTAAATTCATGCATGTTAGCCCCATCCCAAATCGCAAAGCAAAGGCAAACAGATGCAAATCAGCACCAGTCCAACCCCAGATGGTACATGCAAATACATGCAAATCTCAGCCCACTCCAAGCGCCCCTCTGTTTACCCCGGGAAGCTCCTCTGCTCCGTTTCCATGGTAACACAGAAGATAAGCCCCTCACTTACCCGAACCCCACGCGCTCTCCGGCAGCCTCCGCGCCTGCGCACTCGCCGCCTAATCCGGACGCTCGGCTGCAGCCTGGGCGAAACCAAAGGAGGCCAGCGACGGGGGGAGCTGAAAAAAAAAGCCTTTCTTTCCCTTTCGCACCGTCCTGATGCACTTCCCTTCTTCTCGACTACCAAGTAGAAAAGAAGTCCAGAATTTCTTTTCGGTGCGGCTCGCCTCACAACGGAGGCTGTTTTCTCTCCCTGCCTCCGCGGCGAATTTTCTGACAGAGAAAGATTGTGACGGCCGGCAGTTGCCGCGCAGGCGCATGGCGACGCCACGCCAGGCCACGCCACGCCACGCTAGCGTCAGGTCAGCCTCCAGCGCGTCGGTAGGTGGTGGCCATAGACTTGTATTTAACTCACACTCTGCTCTTATATTCAGGGTTCGCTTCCGAAGCATTTTTTTCTTTGCTTAGCTCGTTTGTTTTATCGGCATGGTACATTATACCGCTTTGTCAATTACACCTCCCACCCCGCGCAGACAAAGCATTTAAACAAATAGCTATTTCTGCCTTTTACAACCGTGCATTCCCATTTTACACACCACACAGAGAACCTGTGTTTAGTGTCATGCATGGAGCTGCTCATACGCTCATAAAAAGAATGAATATACAGACACCAGTAAAACATAGAAACAGCGCGAGTCAGAATGGGCCTCCCGGGCCATCTAGTCTGACCCCCGGCTCCAGCCTGCTCCGCTCATGACATGCCCAGGGTAAGAGAATTAAATAAACATTCCCAAGATAAGCAAGCATTTGCTCCCCAAAGTTTTCTGGAAACTGTTTTTTCTTTCATTGGGGGCTTCAATGTGTTCCACTCTACTGTTGAGTGTCACTCCAAAAACACCTAAACCCCAAAGAATACACATTTATGCAAATTCCACAACTGGTGTCATCCTTTACAAGATCAATGATTAAAATGGCTCATTTTAGGATCAAATAAAAGAGCTCATTGATAGGGTAATTATCAATGATCAAAAGACAGCCAGTGTAGTGGAGTGGTGAAGAGCACAGAACTGGGACTTAGACATGGGTTGTAGTCCCTGCTCAGCCATGGACCCAGATGCATAGCTTTAGGCCAGTCAGACTCTCAGCCCAGCCTACCTCACAGGGTTGTTGTTAAGGACAGCAGGAGGAGACTGATGTAAGCCACTTTTAATTGCTTTAAGCAAAAAGGCAGGATATAAATCTAACAAATAAAGAGAAATCACCTTCCCGTGGCCAACACCTCATTCAGCTTCTTGAAGCGGTTCCCTTTTCTCCCACTGACATAAGGATGGGCGGTGGCCTGCCCTGTATCTAGCTGGTGATCTGTCAGGTGAGTGCACCCTTGCAGCTGACCTCAATGTTGCTTTTCCTGGTCTTCCGCACCAGTGACGCTCCCCGGAGCTGAATTCAAAGATTTCTACTTGGGCACTTCCTCCACCAGCCCTTCCCTTTCCGATATGTGAGGTCCTGCACGTTTGCTTGCACTGCTCTTACAAACATAGAAAACAGAGCGAGTCAGAAGGGGCCTCCCGAGCCATCTACTCTGACCTCTGGCACCAGCTGACTCCGCTCACGACATGCCCACCATGTGGACGTCCAGCCTGTCCTTGAACACCCGCACTGATGGGGCCTCAACCACCTCCTGTGGGAGCCCATTCCACACCCTCGGGGTCCCGACTGTCAGGAAGTGCTTCCTGGCATCCAAATGGAACCTTGGCTCCCTGAGCTTTGCTCCGTTGGAGCGCGTCCTGCCTTCCTCTGCAGGGGAGAACAGGTCTCGACCCACCTCTGTGGGACACCCCCTCACACACCTGCATGTCGCCAACATTTCCCCTCTGAGTCTCCTCTTCTCCAGGCTGAAGAGACCCAGTTCCCTCCGTCTCGCCTCATACCCCATCCCCTGCAAACCGGCCACCAACCTTGTGGCCCTGCGCTGCACTGACTCCAACCTGGCTATATCCTTCCTGTAATGAGGGGCCCAGAACTGAGCACAATACTCCAGTTGCGGGCGCACCAGAGTCATATAGGGTGGCAGTAACACCTCTCTTGATCTAGAAGCCACACTTCTGGCTGTGCAACCAAGGGTGGCGTCTGCCCTCTTGACCACCGCATCACACAGCTGGCTCATGTTCAGCCTGCAGTCAACCAGCACCCCGAGGTCCCTTTCACAAGCGCTGCTCTCCAGCCACTTGTCCCCCAACCTGTACTTATGACACCCATTCCTATGCCCCAAGTGCAAGGCCTTGCACTTATCCACACTGAACGCCATCCTGTTGTCTCCTGCCCACTTGCATAGTCTGTCCAGAGCCTTTTGGAACTGGAGTACCTGCTCCTCAGTTGTGGCCACTGCTCCAGTTTTAGTGTCGTCTTGTTCCACCCCTGCCTGAACTGGCGTCCCTCAAACAGCTGAGATGATCCTCTCTCCCACTGGCTCTGATGCTGTTCCCTTCCCACAGAAAATGCACCACCCCACACGTGTCCTATGAACTATTTTGTTAGTGCTGTGCCAGGGGGGTGGCTTCCGTTGGCAATTTGGTGCTGTGGGTTGTTTTGGACGATTCCTAGTCTGGTGGTGCACAACCCCCTTTTGCACACAAAACTAGAACAAGGCAGGAATGTGTTTGCTGTGAAGGCCAGGGCGACTTCTTTTCTTTTATAACTTCTTTTATATCTTTTATTTATCTTATATTGTTAATTTTAATTTTATATTGTTATTTTTGTATTGTATTGTATTGTATTGTATTGTGTTGTGTTGTAAGCCACCCCGAGGCTTCGGCAAGGGGCGGCATAGAAATGTTCAAACAAACAAACAAACAAACAAACAAACAAGACAGGAAGTAGGTAAATGGCTTCAAAGGTAACCAAGGTGTTTTCCCATTTCCCAAACCACTTGCTTTAAACTCCAATGGACTCTTCAACCCTTTTGCCTCTCACTATTTTGGCCTTGGTCTCATAGATTTCTAGTCATTTACATTTGTTATTGTGTGTGTATTTGAGAGTGTGTTTAGATGGTGAAAAGTGGTTCTAATTTTCATATGGACAAAGTTATGCATAGGACAAAGTTTATTACCTTGGGCATTGCTAGTCTTTTCCTTCTCTTCTTTTTTTGTCCCTGTACGTACAGAGAGATCCACCCCTGGGAACAATAACTTCTTATTAAATTATTCCTCTGCAGCTACCTTTGAATGCAGCTACTTTGGTCAAGGACAAAGTACCCCCTTGATTTTCAACTTGGGGCGGCTTGGAAATAAAACAACCCCAAAGGCATTGCAGCTCCAAATTGTGATCAGTTTGACATTGGAGGGGAGGTTAGGGCTAAAAAAAAACACAAGCCAAAGCAGAAACCTCATTTTCCTTTTTAATGTCTTAATAAAATATTTGTATAGAGCCCCAAAAGTTCAAAATAGTGCAAAACATTTCAATATCATGCATCCATTGTTTGTTTAACCATTGTTCAATTCACTTTGGGTATGGAACAGACAACATGAAAACAACCCAATATGTGTGCTGCACAAGTAAGGGTTATGATAATTATTATTTTGTTGTTTCAACCACATGCCAAACAGAAAGTACTAAGAGAACCGGTTCACAGAGGGGTTCTCCTATGACAGGGCACTGCCATCAATGGGGTTTCTTCCCATCTCACCCCACAGATAGGAATGGCATGAGGTCTATTTGTGCAAAAGTGGGTCGGGAAACACGGATAGGGATGGAACTTTGGGATGCTTCCAGCCGGGGCTTTGATTGTGCCGTCTCCCTGTCACATTCACGGAATTTGACAGTGGTCAAGAGGGTAATACGAATGGTAGCACGAGGAATCCTCTGTCTGGAAGCACCGGAATCTCTAAGATCGCCCCCTCCCCTTTCCTTTTCTTCTAATTTTCCAGTCAATGCAGTTTATAAAAGTTTGGTGGATTGTGCACCTGTGTGTAAACATTCAACCCAAATTCTGACGCTTTGGTCCCAGGCAGATTGTATGGAAATATATATTTGGATGGGGTTTTTTTTTTCAAAAGGGCATGGACTTTAGGGAGATGAGAAAGAGCAGAAAGGGGAAAAATTCCATTTGGAAAAGGATGCAGAGCAAGGTACTCAAAAACATTCCAAGACTGGGTTGACAGAGTTGGAGGCAAACATGGAAGGGATGGGGGAAGATCTTTATCACAGATCTAAATGGACTAACAGGTTATTTCCCCTCCCAGAGAGTTTGCCTTACTCTAATCAAGCACTGCTAGCAAATTGCAATCCCTAGGAATCAATGCAACAGAAAGGGGGTGCAGAGGTCTGCTTCTTTTCCAGCCCCATAGATTGGGGGTCTAAGTCCTGTTTGGACTGGGCAAGGACTGGAGTGCAATCTAGCTGCATTCCCCGGTGTTTGCAGCTCAGAGCTGCTGCCAATGGGAACTGGCTACAAAACTTATTATCTGGAATAACGTCAGGCTGTTTCTGATCTGCTTCCAACAGAATTGCGCCCAGGAAACAGGTGTTGGCAGGGTGTCTAGCTGGAACCTCCTCTGGGAGTACCTCTGGCCCCCATTCTAGAAGCATATCCTTTCCCCTGACCCATCTGCCCCACCGTGACCTCTGTGAGGGGGGTTTGGCAAAGTGTATGTGTTTGGAGGGACGTGAGGGTGATGCTTGGCAGTGGGAACAAAGCTTTCGAGGGGGTCATGGAGATGGGGAGAAGAAAGGACACATCTGAAAGTTCTATGGCTTCGACATGGCTATAGAAAAGGGGGAAGGGACAAGGACAGTGAGGGAGGGAAATCCTAGCAGGTCATGACAGCCAGAGGGCCTTAGCTGCTGCTGCCCTCCTCCGCGGATCGTGTGTCCGACTTCAGTTTGACAAACTCCTTGGCCACCTCGTCGTTATTCCGCTGTGAGAGGATGCGCAACACCGTGAGGCCTGTGTCATCCATGTGGACCCGCCGGCCCAGGGGCAGCCAGCAGGCACAGCTGCCCCGCTGCATGATGTCCTTCAGCTGCAGGATGGCGATGCCCACAGTACGGTCCTCTCGGGCAAAACAGTAGTCCTTCACACACACCTGCAGCTCATAACACTCGGGCCCAGTTTCCGTGCCAAGAGTACTGTGGAAGTGGGGAGAAAAAGAAAGCGGAGCGGTCACCCAGAGCAAGGACAAAGCACGCACATTGGCATCAACACAACAAGCCATTTCTTTTTCACCTGAGTTGTGTTCTCTGAACACTATTGTGGTGCATCACCATGGTAAGTGTAGTCTTTAGAAAACATGGTCAGAAACAGTGCTCCCCGCCACCTTGGTTTCTGTATCGCCATGGATTGTTTTGCGGTCTGAACCCAACTGCAGACCTGGTGTGCAGCTACCACAGAGTCCCCTGGAAAGAGCGTCAATTGGAGGAGCTGCTCCAGCCATCCAGCCTCTCTCTGTGGCCTAGAGAGAATAAGGCAAGCAACACAGGCTGGGGATGACTCACCTCGGGACTGAATTCCAGGCACAGCTGATACGTGCCAACAGTGTGGGAGGACTGAGTAGGGAAAGTGGAAGCCATGATGGAAAACCAAGAGCCCACATGATTGCCTGTCAGATCATGGTGAAGAACCTGCACACTGTGGTAGCCACACAGAGTTGCTTGTTGTGTTGTGTGAATACATCTACTCTGTAGGATTACTATTAAAACTTATTCTGCTGCAAGGGTTAATCTGTTCCTGTGAGCCATTTGTTCCCTAACTGCCCCTAATTGTTGCTGCACAATTTGTCAGTGTGAGCGAATATTTCGATGCCCTTCCGAGCACAGTTGCTACTTCCGAGCCTGCAAACACGTCTTCCTTCACGCAACCAACAACTGCACCTTTACAAGCTCTGTTTGTACCTTCCAGACACATGGCCTCCAACTACCTCCTTTCCCATAAGTGTCCTTGAGTCCCAACTACATCCCATAATTACACCTTCCCAGCACTTAAATATCTGCTGTTGGGAAATGCAATTTCTCCACAAGATGACACTACCCTTGTTTTCCCCCAACAAACCGAAAGGGACCAAATCCTGCACTTTGGATGATACAGGTCCAAGGCAGTGAAGAGAATCACTCACAACTGGATACTTTCGTTGTATTTGGGTGACCAGCTATTGTTCTTGGATTTGGTGGCAAACTTCCTCTTTTTGTCGCTGAGGTGTGGCCCGATAATGTTGACTTCGATGAAGGGGCGGAAGATGCCCGAAGTTTGCCACTTCAGGTCATTGGCAGCCACCACTGGAACAAGGAAGGGAAAGAAGGGGCAACAGAACATAAGCTCTGCTTGAGGGAAATCATATAACTTTGATCTAAACATAAACAAGGTATTTATAATTTATTTCAAACTTTTGTACACTGTCCCTTATGCATGGCATCTCGGGATGGCTTACAATCATTAAAACAGACACAATAAACCAACATCTCAATATAACAAATAACAATTAACCAAAAATATAAGTTAAGTAAGCTACATGATAAGTGACTGTTGAATATTAAAATTAGTTTAAAATAACAATTGAATCAAAAGCTTTTAACCAGGCGCCAGAAAGAATATAAACTCGGTGCCAGGTGAACCTCTCCGGGGAGTGTATTCCACGATATTATGTATTATTTCCTGCGAGTCTCTCAGATACAGATGTTCTGCGATGGCTTTGCTTAGGCACAGGTTACCTGAGGTACACACCTGGACCTTCTCCCACATCCAGGAGATATAACCCTCAAGAATAAGAATGCGAGCCGGCAGGAGGGGCTTGGAACAGGGGAGTTCCTCTGAGACAGACGAGGCAGGGTATGGCTTTCAACCCCCCCGATGCGACATTGGCAGAGGGGGGTGGGCCCACCGGAGGACCAGCATGCAGCGAGGAGGGGTGCTCTATTTCAGAAGGCCCCTCTTGAAGGGATGGTGCCCAGGCATGGGTTCAATAAACCTCTCTGTGCATGCTCAGAGAGTCATTCTGAGTGTTTGTGCTTCTGGAAAACTCTGGTCAATAAAGAGCACTTTGCAAGAAAGTTCTTTGTATGTGTGAAGGGAAGAATAATAGTCCTTGGTGCTAGAGAAGCTGGTCGCAGTAGTAGGGTGTTGTCCTGACTGAATTTATTTATTTATTTATTTATTTATTTATTATTTATTTATTTATTTATTTATTTATTTAGAGTATTTGTATGCTGTTCCATTACATAGCCTCGGGACAGCTTACATAAAATAAAACAAAACATAATACAAATAAAATCCAGATCCACCGTGGCTGCAGATTAAAACCTATCAGCTGATGTTAAAAGTTATTAAAATATAGTTGAAATAAAAAGGTCTTAGCCTGGTGCCAAAAAACAAACAATGATGGTGCCAGGCGGACCTCTCTGGGGAGCGCATTCCACAGGCGGGGCGCCACCGCAGAGAAGGCCCTCCTCCGGGTACTTTGCCTCCTGATGTCTCTCCCGGAGGAGGGTCTTCACTGCTGATCTCAGGGGGCAGGAGGGCAAATATGGAAGAAGGCGTTCCTTTAGGTATCCAGGTCCCAAGCCGTTAAGGGCTTTATAGGTGATAACCAGCACCTTGAATTGAGCCCAGACTTCGATTCAATGGGGAGCCAGTGAAGCTGGTAGAGGACTGGAGTTATGTGAGAATAACGCCCAGTCCCCGTCAGCAACCTGGCTGCTCTATTTTGCACCATCTGAACTATCTGGACTGTCTTCAAGGGCAGCCCCACATAGAGCGCATTACAGAAGTCCAGTCGGGAAGTTACCAACGCGTGTGCCACTGTCGCCAAGCAGTCGTCCTTCCCGGTGAATTAAGAACCGGGGGATCTTTGACAGGGTGCACGCTGCAGCCCCTTCACCTGCCGTTCCCCCCCCTCCCCCAGTATACAAAGATGCAAGATGCCAACACCCAGTTCTGGGCAATCAGCAAGATGGAGAAGCAGAAACAAGGGAGCACGAGGGCAAAATCAAGCTGGGCCAGTCCAACAGCATTTTCCTCTCCAAACTGCTGCACCACTCAGACCTGATGCCCAGATTCCAATATGAGACACCCTGTTTTCCGGTCCCTCTCAGGAAGCTGCCTCCGTGAATCATTGCTGGATCTAGGCCTCGGAGTGCCTCTTCCTGTGTGAACCTATCCAGCACCGTAGATCCACACCTGTGTCCTTCTGAGGAAGGCCCCCTGCTCAGGAAATGAGAAGGGAGGCGACTCCAAGAAGGGCCTTTTCGGGAGTGGCACCCCGACTCTGGAACGAGCTCCCCAGAGAGGTTCACCTGGTGTCCTCTTCAACTGTTAATCTGCTCTTAATGGTATTTTAATAGCGCATGAGATGCCTTTTATGAAATCACTAGTTGAGGTGGGCGGGTTTTTATTATCTTACTGTTTTATTGTAATTTGCTTTTTGTGCTTTTATGCTGTTTATATAATTTTATTGTGGTGACCCGCCCAGGAAGCCATGTGGGTAATAGGGCAGGTTAGAGGATGATGATGATGATGATTTCATTTAATATTATCAGTAATAATAAAATTATCATTATCATTATCATTATTAAATAATCAACACAATGTAACTATTATATTAATAATTATAAACACTAATCATTTTTAATATTAATAACGATTATTAAATAGATGATGATGATGTAGTGGTGTTGGGGCAGCACCCTGACCTCACACAGCAATGAAAAATACTGCAAGGAGGACTTCTCTGCCAACGTTGGCACTGCTTAATCGCCATGCCTGTGGCTCAAAGCAGCTGAAATCGCCTTGCTTGGCTCTGCAGCTCTGACCTTCCCGAGAGGGGCTTATTTCCACCCTCGTGGGTCTCTCTGATACAACCTGCGTAAAAACATTTCCTCCTCCAGCCAGCGGCCCAACCTTTGACGGTGACTTTGTGCTCTCCTGTGCCCGGGTGGGTGAAGAGTTCCACGTGAATCGAGACTTCTCCCACAGGGTCATCCACTCCAGATCCTGCATGGCAGAAAGGTGGAGGAGTAAGTCCTGTGGACATTGGTGGCGTCCCTCTAACCCTGCTGGTCCCTCTCCAGCCAGCCGCACTCCAGGGATGCGCCCACCTCCCATCCTTCGTCACGTGAGCTGAGGAAGGTGGGAGTGGAGCCCATGTGGATGGGCCTGAGTTGGGAGGGCAGGCTTAGAGCTCCAGGGCTCAGGCAGGGGTCCTCGTGTCAGGACAACTCTCGCTTTGTCCTGGCAGACGGGCCAGAGTAGGAATCTGCACGACTCTTTTCCTGAGAATGACAGTAATTCCAGGAGTTGCCATTGTTGCTGTTACTAATCAGTTCCGATCCAGAGTTCTGAGCTAGTCAGCAATGTGCAGCCTTAAACCCCTTAAATCCACCGTCCTTGGCCGTCCCCTCCCCTCCCAACGATTCCCACACTCCGTAGTCTAAGAAGCAGAACACTGGCTTATCAATTGGACGGGATTCCTCCGTGGAGGAATTCCACATGCAGCAACGGCAAAATGGAAGCCGGAACAGGGGAGGGACCTTGCTATCGGATTGCGGATGTGGGGAGTGCAGAGGGAAAGAGGAGAGGTGCAGGCGGGAGAAGGCAACGGGGTCAGGGGGGAGAACCGAGAGCTCCAAAGGTAGGGACTTGGGATGAGGGCGGCGAGGCTGTGGATCCCAGAGCAAGGGGAAAACAGGAGGTGCCTTGCCTTCCCCTCTGCTCCAAAATAGGTTGGGTAGCAAATGCTTCTTCAACAGAAACCTGCCTGCCCCATTGTCCGTGATCCTCTTCTCTGTCTTCCAGTGTATGATGAATTGGAGTTCACACGCAGGACCACGAAGATCATCTAGTCCAGCCCCTTTTGAGGCAGGAAGTCTGTTGCTGAGGTTGCTCTGAGTGGTGGCCATGCAAGCTTTACTTAAAACCCTAACAAAGAAGGATCCACCACAAGATCATACGTCCTACTTATGTTGTCAAGGAGGTCTAGTAGAAATCTCATTTCTTGTAGTTTAATCACACAGTGGAAAATCTCAGGATTGGTTTTATGGCCGTCATGGCATCCCTCCAAAAGGATCTTGGGAATTGTAGTTTGGCAAGTGCTGGGTATGCTGGATTCCCCCTTGCTAAGATGAAGAGATTATTCATTATGATGATTTATTTTATCCCACCCTTGGCTTTCCAACTCCATGTCGGCCTCTTTGCAAACCTCTTTGAATTACCATCTCCAGTCTTCATGCCACCAAGGGCAATGAACCCAAAGCCATGGTAGACCATGGGCCCAACTGGTTCAGCATCTGGGTCTCCACGCGTGGTCAGCAGGACATTTTCAGGGGACTCAGAAGCAGGACTTGAAGGCATATGTTTGTTTATCAGCATCACATTTGTTGTTGTTAGTCACGAAGTCGTGTCTGACCCATCGCGACCCCATGGACAACATTCCTCCAGGACTTCCTGTCCTCCACCATCCCCTGGAGTCCATCTAAGTTCACGCCGACTGCTCCAGTGACCCCATCCAGCCACCTCATTCTCTTCCATCCCCTTCTTCTTTTGCCCTCAATTGTTCCCAGCATCAGGCTCTTCTCCAGGGAGTCCTTCCTTCTCATTAGGTGGCCAAAGTCTTTGAGCTTCAGCTTCAGGATCTGGCCTTCTAAAGAGCAGTCAGGGTTGATCTCCTCTAGGACTGACCAGTTTGATCACCTTGCTGTCCAAGGGACTCGCAGGAGTCTCCTCCAGCACCACAATCCAAAGGCCTCAATTCTTCAGCGCTCAGCCTCCTTATGGTCCAGCTTTCACAGCCATACATTGCCACTGGGAAAACCGTAGCATCAAATATCCATAGATAAATGGCTTCTGCAGGAAGAGGCTCTCCTGGAGAATAAGGGATCCAGGATTCTGCAGGAGCCAGTGCAGGATGCAGTGACAGTGCCCAGCTTGTGTGTAAACAGCCCCAGTGGCAGAGGACGGAGCAACTTCTGAAGCGCCTTGGAACATGGTCTTGTCACGTTTCCCTTCAGGAAGTTCCTTCTGAGGACAGCTAACATTTCTCCTTAATCTAGCCTCCTTTGCACCCATTGCATGCAGCTTTTGACTTTTGCTTCCATTATGGACGACGGGTCTTACTAATTTTGATGTTTATTTTTGCATTGCATTTTAGTGCATCAGCTGGCTTTAAGAGGGTTTGAAAGGTGGCATAAAATGATTTGCACAAAGGATAGAGAAGAGGACAAGCCTTGGGTGAATTTCTGGATCTGCAGCCTTTCCCCCCACATGCGGATGATGTCCCTCCCCCTGCATGCCTCGTTCTTTTCTTGCGAGTAAAAGCTAGGGGATCATACGCATCTATCTGGAGTCGCATGCTGAGACTCCCTCGATCAAGGAATCCAAGATTGCGAGGCTCAAAACAATCCAGTCATTTCCAAGTGCCAAATGCAAAGCGTGGAAACCAACCGCCAGTGGCGCAGACCCACCCCGAGCTCCCCTCCCTTTCTCCGTCTAGGGGTGAGCTTGCGAAGGAGATTCATTCCGATGCATTCAGGGCATTTGCAGAAGGGGGCATAGACTGAGTGCTAGGAACAGGGCTAGGTAAAAGTTCCTTTGCTAGAAGGGGAAGAGGATGAGGAAGAGGAAGGAAGCCAGATCCAGCCACAAAGTTGGTTACCCTTACCCTGATTCTGCTCCCCATAGGGGACCATATACTAAATTCCGGCACTTTTACTAGCCCTGGCCGAGGCAGTGGAATTGGGGAGAGGAATCTGGGAAAAGTGCAGTTGAGGAAGGAGTGTCAGGAGGATGGTGTGAAACGTACCCTTCTCAGGATATATTTCTTCGCTAAGAGTAAACCTAACACCTTTTCCACCATGAACTAATGATGGGAAAAAGGAGTGAAAGGAAGGAGAGAGAGAGAGAGCAAGAGCAAGATGAAGGAAGGAAGGAAGGAAGGACGGAAGGAAGGAAGGAAGGACGGAAGGAAGGAAGGACATGTAAGAAAATAAGAGGAAATGTGCAAACAGAGGAATAAAAAGAGGCAAGAAATAGGGAGAAAAAGAAAAGAAAGATCAGTGTGCACAGCCTGGCTCCAATATGCAGCTGAAGAATTCAAAAGACAGGTTATAAAGAACACCAACAACTGGGCTGAGGGACTGGAAGGTAAGCCCCAAACTAAGGCCAGAGATTCCCCACCCTTCGGCAGTTCCTGGGAATTCCCCCTTGGAGCATGGGTCGTAATAAACAAAACACAGTGTGTGAGTATATGTGCCTTGTTTGGAGCTATCCCGACAAATATCCAGCGACAGGTGTATCCAATGCAGATGCAGTGCAGAGTCCACCTGCCCCCAGTGTTTGTTCCCCAGCAGGTGTTAGTTCCTGGGCCCACAGGGGGCTCTGAACCTGGAGGTGTCCTTTAAGAACCCTGTTGGGATGGGCAGTCTGAGTCTAGGTCCCTAACCCAGCTGGAGTTTCCAAGCCATAAATATGCCCACCCCACACCTCCAAGCATGTACACCTGTCCCTTGGTCTACCTGGTGATGGTACTTACCCTGGGAGGACTGTGTCTGAACAAAAGTTTTGATCAGCAGGTCTGTTGCCTGTGTGTAGAGCGACAATGCATAGCGCAAAGATTGCAAGTCTGGGCTTTTCTCCAGGAAGGTTTTCTTGAGACCCACGCCTCCCGCGTGGAAGTATTGCTGGAAGGAAGAGGAGGAGGAGGAAGAACAGGGCAGGAGACGTGAGCAAACCCAGCGCCATGTTTGTCCAGACACAGGTGGGGGCGAAACCTTCTGGAAGCAGGACATGGAGCACATTTTTATCTACATTGGATGTATTTACCCCTTTGAAAGAGGGGAAAACATCCCAGTTGTCCCTATCCCTGCTTTTCTCTGCGCAACAACCCTTCAGAGATAGATTACGCCAGAAGACAGTACCTTGGGGACTTGAACCAACACCTCAGAGGCACAGAAGAACCTCCCTGTAAACCAAGCCTACTATATGTTCCTACAGCCCATGACTGTCCACTCTCCCTCCTTGCCCAGTGTCTCTCTCCAGGGTCTTTCCCAAACTAGAAACAGAGCGAGTCAGAAGGGGCCTCTCGGGCCATCTAGTCTGACCCCGGCTCCAGCCGGCTCCGCTCATGACATGCCCACCACGTGCATGTCCAGCCTGTCCTTGATCACCCGCACCGAGGGGGCCTCAACCCCCTCCCTGGAAGCCCAGTCACACCCCCAATTATGTTGGCACCAATGCAGCTGCTTGGAGAAGCATGCAGAAGAGCAAAGGCACGAGACCGAGTCTTCATGGCTGGTGTCCAGGGATGAAGGCATCCCGTGGAATTACGTGTAGCTGCCCAAAGAACAGGCAAACCGTGGCATGTCCCAGTGGGAGACCAAGGCTTTCCGCTTCCCCCTGGGGTCAGGGTTGGGGTTAGGGCAGCCTCCAGCACCACGGTGACAGGGGACCGCCTCTCCTGGTTGTCTTGGGAACACTCTGGTTTCAGAGTGCTTTTTATTTTGAAACTGCATATTGTGGAATGCTGGGTCCAAGGCAGCCATGAAACACAAAGGTCTCTCTTCAAGAGCATGTGTGTAAAATAGAAACAGAAACATAGAAACAGAGCGAGTCAGAAGGAGCCTCCGGGGCCATTTAGTCTGACCTCCGGCACCATCCGGCTCTGCTCATGACATGCCCACCATGGGCATGTCCAGCCTATCCTTGAATGCTGTCACCGATGGGGCCTCAACCACCTCCCAGGGAAGCCCATTCCACACCCTCAGGGTCCTGACTGTCAGGAAGTGCTTCCTGGCATCTAAATGGGACCTTGGTTCCCAAACCAAAATCTGTGACCTGAACCATTTTGAACTAGCGATTCCAAGGGAGAACCTGAGCTTTCAGCATGGGAAGCATGCACCCTCCCATTAACCTGTGTCCCCTCAGTGCAACACCCTGATCATCGCCAACGCCCTTCTCCTTCTCTCCTGTGCAGCCCCTAGCTTTTCCTTGGACAAAACACTTATTCGACTATTCTGTTTTACCACCATAAATTATAATACTAAAAATCAACACCAGGAGAGAAAGTACATGAGAATGTGGCTCTCACATCATTATATTGCCTTGATATCTCACCTTTCTTCCTTTTGCAAGGAACCCAAGACTGCTTACAAAGTTCTCTTTGCCTTCTCCAATTTATCTGCATAACGACGACCCTTTGAGGTACCTTCGGCTGAGAGGAAGTGACTGGCCCAAAGCCAGTGGCCTCCATGGCCATGTACAAGCACAGATCCCAACCCAGAACTTCACAACTGGGTGAAGATCTGCCCGCCATGGATTCTGGAATTCAGATCTGATTCAACGGACTTGCTGATGAATTCAGCTTGTGGCCAGAAAGGGGGCGCAGCTTTCCTACCTTGATGGTGTCCAGGGCAAGTTCCACTACAGCGCATTGTTTGGGCGTCAGGCTTTTGGCCTCCTCGCGCACCATGTGGTCCTGCAAACGACAAGACATGTTGGCCTTGAGAGGGACACAGCTCCTATTGCTGCAATACCTGTAAGGTGGGCCCTGACACCCCTTCCCTCTCTTTAAGGCCACATTTGGAATATGCTCCCCAGAGAGGCCCGCCTGGCACCGACGTTATACTCCTTCTGGCACCAGGTAAAGACCTTTTTATTTAACCATTTTTTTAATAATCAAGAGTTTTAGATGTTTTAGGATTTTTTCTTTTTCCTCTTCACAGTCACATTTTCTATTTTCCCCTCCTTTTTCTTAAGTTCATGATACATTTTATATTGTTTTAATAATTGAGGGTTTATATGGTACTTTTGTATTTTGGAAGCCATCCTGAGCGCTTGGCGGAAGGACGGGATATAAATGCTGTAATAAATAAATAATAAATAAAATGTGCAAGTCAAGAAACGAAGGAGGGGGAGTGGTCATCTGTCCCTTCATACACGTGGGCTCTGCGCTTCAGGGAGCCCTGTTCTGGAAGACTTCTAGAGATGAAGAATTTGGACGGGTCCTGTTCTTGTCTTTCTTCTTCTAGATGGGGACTTTCCTGAATGTTCTATGATTGTTCTCTTCAGGATGAAGAGCATTCTAATGTTCTCTCACTGGGTTTGAAGTAATCAGGAAGGGACAAGTCTCGATTCAGGAAGGACAGATGCAAACATGTCCTTCTCCCTGGAGGACATGAACCCAAGTGGTTCTGCCTTTTCTAGTTTGTGTTTCGGGGGCCATCTGGAACACCTCGAGAACCTTGATGAGCAGGAACAGGAATCATTTGGGAGAAAACGGGTGTCCCAGACTAGCTCTTCATCAGAGCAACTCTTTCTTTCTGGGGAATGATGGGGTCTGGGGTCTTCCTGACTTTCAGCTATAGATCCCTGGTCCTTTTATGCACCCCTCTTGTTGGATCTGGGCCTTTTCTCCATTTCTTTTGGGGGAGTTTTTTGTCTGCTTTGCAGAGGGGCTGCTGAGATCTAGAAAAGTGATACACAAAAGAGCACGAGGGGGCAGAAAACTTGGGATCCAAGAAAGAGTCTTTGCTATTCCTGGTCTTTACATCTTTTCCTTGTGCTCTAGCAGCATTTCCCCCCTTTTCCTGGTGAGAAGGGGAATTAGATTTGTTACGTGGGCCTTATATTAAATGCCCCCTAGTTTTCCATGTTCTGCTTAGCCCGGTAATTTATTTAACCCAATCCCCAGAATGGGTCACCCCAAGAGGAGCTTTAGCAGGGGCGAGTCTTTTCTCGGTGGTGTTAGGTACCAAACCACCTCTTGGCTTGGGGGCTTCACCGGGCCACTGCTTGCTGCATTTTCCCTCCCTGGCCTGAAGTAGAGGGTGATCTAACTCATGCAGCAGAGAGCAAGGACGGACTCAAATGCTCTGCAAAAGAACATGATACTGCTCTTGCACCAGCTGCCAGAAGGAGAGGGATTGTGAAAGAGGCTTCAAGGAAAAAGGGGGGAGATAGTTGTCTTATTTATTTATCGATTTATATCCTGCCTTTTTCTTACAAAGGGCTCAAGGCAGCTTATATCATCCTCCTCCTCCATCTTATCCCCACAACAACAACCTTGTGAGGTAGGCTGGGCTGAGAGTCTGGGACTGGCCCAAAGGCACCCAGTGGGCTCCGTGGCTGAGCGGGGACTCGAGCCCGGATTGCCTGAGTCCCGGTCCCGCGCTCTTAACACGACACCACACTGGCTCTCCAGTTTACAGTTCTAAAGACTTCTCGGAGTCTTTACACTTCTAGGAGCAATACCCAGGCTCAGCCACTGTGTTTGCTGCTCAGGAGTGACTGCATAGGTGGTGGTTCAGGATATTCAAATACTCCACCTCCAGTGGCAGAATGGAGCTCAGGACAATCCGTAATTTTGTCAGCCTTTCAAAACTTTTCCCAGGTTGCCAGGCAAGCCACTGTCCTACTATGTTACGGCACGTTGATTTCGTTGGTGCGTCTTGACTGCGGAACCACGATCCCCATCCTGCATCTCTTACCTTTAGTTTCGAAAGCTGCCCCAATTCCTTGGCTGCATTGAAAATCATCTGCGTGCCCTGAAGTGCAGAAGGAAAGGAAGGAGGGAAGGAGGGAGGGAGGGAGGGAAGAAAAGAAGGAAAGAGGGAAACAGGGAAAGAGGGAAAGAGGGAAGAAAGGAAATAATAAAAAAGATTACTGCATCCCCAAGGACTGGAGTGATGCTGAGCCAGACCTGTCCTTATGCTAAGAAGCTTAGGTGACCGCACTGCAAGAAGTTTTCCTTGGGCAGATTTTTTTTGCCCCCGTGTGCGAGTCTGCACACACAGCTTCTTTCTGTTGGCCCAGCAAAGCAATTCGATGCGGGTCATGCCATCCAGAGATCTGGACTCTTGATGATCTAATCTCATTTTCCAAATTTTAGACAGACAGAAAGAAAGCGTACGTGTGTTTGGCACTGTTAAGCTGTCTGGTTTGCAGGATGGCTGCTTTGCTCCAATGCTCTTTAAGCCACTACAGAGCACATTTTAAAGGGAACCCCATTAGATGCAAATAATATTTTGATATGTTATGCATATTGATAACAATAATTATCAATTATGGTTGATAATTCCAAATAATTATAGTTTGGATGCAGAATCCAAATAATCATACCTAAGGACGTGACATACCTTACTTTAGAAAAGAAGAGGCGACAAAAGGGTTTCCACCCTGCATGATTTTAAAAAAGTATGCGGGAGTCTTCTTCCCATGACCTCTTCAGTTTTATTAACCCCTTAGCCCCTTCATGACCACTTTGAGGACTGAGAAATATACGATTATGCTATCTCTTGTCTTTGAGATGTTAAGAATTTACACCATTCAGATCAGAGGTCCATAGTAAATCAGGTGGGGGCAGAGGGCAGTGCCAAGATGGCACTGAAGTAACTGGCGCTCCCTTTGACATTTTATCCGTTTTAATTTATGTTTGTTATCTGCCTAGTTATTTATTTCAATTCTTATCTAGTTGGGATTTAAAATCAAGCAAGAGACCCTTGTCTCTCAGACCTGTAAGAACAGAAATATTATACCAGCCTCTGTCACAACATGCCTGCTCCTGAAGCAAAGGCGAAGAACAGGAAGTGTAGTCGGGCTTGTCTTGTCTCTTCTACTTTGCCCAAGCCAAGTAAACAACCAAAAATGGATGATTACGTGACACGTGAGAAAAACTTAAGCAATAACAACTACGAGACAAATCTCCTTTATTCTATTTCTACTTCTAACAGCTACGATTAATAAATCAGTGGTTGAAATCTGCAAACCTCTGGTTGTTCTTGGATTCCAGCTCCCATCAGCCGCAATGGGTAGGGCAGGAGGTGTTGGAGACCCACCACATTTGGGGCACTCCCATTTTGCTACCCTGATTTAAGGGCAGCAACCTATTTCCAACAGTGCTCAGGAAAATACCTTGGAGAGCTACTAACAATAGCCTTTTTCTGTCGTTTGCGCCCGGACTGCCTCTGAACATGGAGGTTCCATTCTCGGTATTGCAAACAAGAAAATAAGCTCAAGCTTTGTCTCAAACAGTGGGCCAGACAGGGGATAAGCAACAGAAAATTAACACATGTCATCTTGAACCTGCCTCTTGCATGGGTCGGAAGCCAGTTCATGCCCATGGCTTCCCCCATAGCGCCCCTAAATGGAAGCTCTCCCTTTTCTGGCCGTCTGGCATTCGCATGGGCAAGCCCGTCCCTCCATGATTGGGATGGATCCTTCCTGATTTCTGCCCACCAGCTCTCCCAGGAATCACCACGCTCTTATGGAACGAAGTTCAGAAGTAATTGGCCTCCAACAAATTCCATGTATGATCAAAGCAAACTGACTTCTCCTCCTTTCACATAACAAAAGCTCAGCAGCTCAAGCAGTCAAAGGATCACAGGTAGAAAAGTGGCCCATGTGCCACAGCAAATAAGCTTCTCTTGTCAAAGGCAACACATTTCTCCCGGGGAGCGGGGTGGTTTCACGCCACCCCCTTCAAATCGCCAAGAGCCTAGCAATGGAGACATGAGAACTCCGGTCAAGAACAGCCTAGAATTGGTAATAAAAATCTGTAGTTGCATTGTTTCCATCCAAGAGAGCTGATTTTGTGAGCTGGCTGGTCTCCCTCCATAGTCCACATCTTTGTTTTTTAGCATCACAGCTGCTAGCCCATCATGACTAGAAGTTTGTTAAAGATTCATTTTCAACTAATACTGGCACAAAATCCCCATAATTGCACAGAACTATTCACTGGTGACAAAAGAGGAATTTTGACTTCTTTAGGGTGGGGATGAGGAAGAGACTTGAAACTCATAATATTCATTGTGGACAGTATGTTGGGTGGCCCAGAACGGCCCTGGAATGACAATATGTCAAGATATAGCATTGTTGCATTCTGGGGAAAGTGTAATATGGTAGACGAGCTTGGAGTAGCACAAACACCGGCCAACACCTCCAAACGTTCTCTTACCCACTCCCAAGATGCCTATGGAGAGAAGACAGTTTCGGCTCCAAATTTGCCCTTGCAAGAACTTTCAAGCCTTCCTTTGCATACCTGAGGGTGTTGTGTTTCGAAGGAACAAGAACAAACTTCATCAGGCATTGAATACCCTTTGCAGCTCCAGTTCCTTCTTCATTTTTGCAGTATGATTGTAATAGTGTAGAAAACACCACACCAAGGCAATAACAGATCCCCTTCCAGCAAGAACTAGACCTGGGTGCACAATTTTGTACTCCAAAATCCTCTGAGAAAATCAGGAAGCAAAAACCTAGCTGCAGTTTTCACAACTAGGGGGAAAAAACTGCTGGTATCAACTTCTGTCACCAGATCAAAACCTTTTTATTTAACCAGTATTTTAATTGTTGATTTGAAGATATGTCTGATTTAATCCCATTTTAATCAAGTGCTGTAAATTGTTTTTTATGGTTTTATTATTTTAAATCCTCTTGAGATATTCTATGAAAATAATAGATAGTATAAAATGTTAAAATAAAATAAAATAAGCTAGTTCCTGGCTCTCCTTAGATCAGGTTTTTCCAAGTCTACAGCTCTCAGTGCTGCATCGGTGAAGGCTGACGGGAAGTGCAATGGTCCAAAACTTCCACATTGGGAAAAAGATGTCTTAGATTCCTCTCTTTTTCTGAAGTTCATGTCCAGAAGGGAGGAATCCAACTCTTGCTAAGGCACATGGAATGCTTCCTTGCTTGATTTTCCAAGAAATAACCCCTAGGTGGCACTGTGGTATCTCAGAGAAGTGCCAATATCTAGGATAAAATTGTGTGTTCTTTTAAGATCAGAAACCATGTCTTATTTTCTCTTTTGTTTGTTTACAAACTAAAGCAAAACCAGAACCTATAGGTATCCACAGACTTTTTAAACAGTTCCAATCAGCACACAACAATGTCTCATGTAGAGAAACTCACTTCTGTTCCATTGTTCCAGTCCAAAAAAATAAAACCCCTTCCAGAAAACCTGAAGTGAGGACTAAGCTGGACCAAAGATGGGACACAGAATCTAGCTTTTCATGCTCCTTTGGCATTTGTGAGGCTTTTCTCAAGAGTTAGACCTTCTGAATTCATCTCAAGACTGTCACTGGCAAAAGTTGGGAGCACTGTAGGGTTTTCCACTGTTGCCCCATCAACAGCACATGGACAATGGACTTTGGGGTCAAGCAAACCTCCCCATTCCATTGCGTTCTTTCAGTCTCCTCTAAGTGTTCTCTTCTGATCTCTTGGACTGCCAACGTCCATGCTGGTTTCGTTCTGTTATGTTCCACTCCTCTTTCCTTCACCCCAGCTTACTTAAGTTAAATGCATACCTGGACAGATGGATCCTAAAAACAGGCACCCATGCCCTGGTAACATCCAAGATAGATTACTGCAATGAGCTCTATGTGGGTCCGGCCATTACAACTGGTACAGAATCGGGCCGCTTGGTTGGTGACGGGAGCCCCTAGAGTGGCCCCTCTGAACACCTATACTGAAAGATCTCCATGGACAACAGTTGTGGCCCTGATCCAATTCAAGGTGCTTCTGCTGACATATAAAGCCCTAAAGGGCTTAGGCCCCGGTTACCTTAAGGAGTATAAAGAGGGTGCCTCCCCAGCCTTTGGGATATACGCAGGGGCTCCTGTGTGAGCCATCCCCTAGGGAGATGAGAGGGCCTTCTCTGCAGCTGCTCCTCATATCTGGAAAGCTCTCCCCAAGGAGATTCGCCTGGCACCCTCTTTATACTCCTTTCAATGCAAGGCGAAGACTTACCATTTTAATATCTGATGTGACAAACCTTTATTTGCATTTTATCTGTATTTTAATTAATATTTTATGGATTTTTAGATTTATAAACCACTTTTATAGTGGTTTTAATTTTGATTGTGAGCCATGTGGAGATGCTATGGTGCAATAGGCAGCATACGGATGTATAAATAAATAAATGTGCTTTATTCTGGAATTTGAGCAAGTGTAGAAAGCACCTTCCCTCTGTATTAACTATTTGCCCATTGATGAAACACTATAAGAAAGGCAACATTAATGCAATGGTAATATCAAGATTTGTTTGATATGCCTTTCTTTTCTGTGCTTCCAAACACAGGCAAACTATTGTCCAAAAGCAGGTACTGGTGGAACGCCTGTGATTACATAAAGACTTCCTTTTAATTTTTTTAAATCTATGCACATCATTAATACAGAGAAGGAGGAAGAAATGAGCAGACCGTAGGTGCTGAAAACTGCTGAAAATAACTATTCTTCTAATTAACTTGCATCTTGCCCTCTTTAGGACATTACAAAAAAGACAGTTTTCTTGCTTTTAAGTCACTTTTAGTGCATCTGTTTCTGCAGGAAACAAACAAGCCAACAAAACTCAGTACAACAATCTAAGACTGTCTTTGGTTTGCTTTTTGCAGGACTCTAGTAATGTATGCACAAACTTTAGAAACACCGGGGAGGAAACCTAGCACCCAATCTCAAGTACATTGAACAGGCCAAAGGTGAGTTTAGGAACCATTCTAGCAAACTCATAATTTCGAGTAGAACAGAGCATGGGGTTACACTGTGGAAGGATAAAGGAGAATGAGGAAGTCCCTAAAGGTAATCCTAATGAAAGCCCAGAATTCTGTCGCTGAATTTTAAAAGAAGATTCCCTTACAATTTCTTAAGAAAAAAGCATTCCCACTGTTTACTTTGCCAGATCTTGGAACTCATTTTGCACCCTCAGCCCTCCATGGAATTCTGATGGTACCACACAACCTGTTTCTGCTTCCCCCCACATGCGGACAGGTGAAAGAGCAAGCTGAGAAACAGAAAGAAAACAGGGGTTTGCTGAAGGGAAGCCCTGTTTGGGGGAGAAAATAACAGACACAGTTTCAGCCCAGGATTTAACACAGCACCCAGCTGCAAAAAGCAACACCTGGTAAGAAGGAAGGACAAGAGAAAAGATGGACAGATGGACGGACGGATTCAAAAGAGCGCAGGCAAGAAGGACGGGGAGCTCAACAGACAAGAGGAGGGGGCAGGAAAAATAGATCAAGCAGGCTAAGAATTAAATGGAAGATCCTTACTTCAGTGTGACTGGGCATCTTCACCCTACTCTGTAAAAAGAACAGCAGGTTTTGTAAAGTTACAGCTTCTGTACCAGCACCTTTACAACACCAAAACCCACCCCATCACCACTCAGACTTCGGTTCCCACCACCGCAAGAGCTGGGTTACCACTCGCGTCATTTGCGAATTGGTCTGCACTGCAATGTTCAGACTGTTTTTTTATTTATTAAAACTGTTCAACTGGAGGATGTGTTTCTCAGAACACCTTCCCACCTGGTTCCTTTGGGAGGTTACAGCTGCTTTCTGCCAGATGGATGTTTGGGGATTTCCTAGGAATGCTTCCAGGGTTCTAACTTCCCAGGTCTTATTTCAGAAATGAAACCCCTGCAGTTTTGAACCACTGTTGCTCTGTTTGCTTAATAGTTTGTTTAAATTGCATGCAGTTTTCCAACACTCCTACTTCTGATTAGCATTTTTACCCCATTCTTCAGCCAAAATGCGTATCCAGAGCAGATTCAATGCATACATTTAATAACTCACGCGAAAGTTCTAGCCCCTATGCTTACAATCCAAAATGGACAACAGCTATGAAAAGGGGATAAGGAGAGCAGAGGAAAACCGGCTAATTCCAGCAGAGGAAAACCAGCTCATTGCGGGAGTTAAGTAGTTCTTAGAAGGGTGTGGTTCAGAAAGAAAAGGTGCCCTGGGAAACTGAGTGGAGCGGATGTAGTGATCCTGCTTCCCAGGGCTTTTTTTTTGTCCTAGAACGCACCGGAACAGCGTTCCGGCACCTTTTTTTGGATGGATTTTTCCAATGGAGTGATTTTGAATCGCCTGCGGGATGCTTGTGTGTCTGTGCTGACTGTGAGGGCGCTGCTCGGCTCAGGACGCTGCTCGGCTTGGGATCGGTCGTGTGGTCGCGCGCTGAGTGCTTACTGCCTACGGCAACCAATATGTTTATGTGTGTGTAGAGTGACTGGCTACGTGCAAAAGGTAAATAAGTTCTTTATTTCAAAAAAAGTTGGTGAATTGAAAATCTTTTTTAGTGTAAAAGTGTGACCCCAAGACGTGAGTTCCGGCACCTTTTTATTTTACAAAAAAGCACTGCTACTTCCCATTTCTCCTCCTGCTGCAACATTTAGCTTCTTTAGTTCCTTTGTGTCTTGCCACCCTCCTACAATCCTCCAGCTGCATGCAAACACCTCCCAGTTGCTCCTCCCAGCTGTCACCACCAGAGGTCCTTCTAGATGGCTGTACAGACAGTTGCGAGAAAGGAAAGAGAGGGGAGACCTATTCCAGAAGCCCTAATTTTTGGAAGACTGAAAAAAAAGCTTTCCTTTCCACTCCTTTTCTCTTGTATATTGCATCTTTTTAGACTGCAAGCCTGTGAGGTAGAACGGCTTTGCTGGAACCTTCTGGATGAGGAGCAGGATAAAAATGCACTTTGGACAAAGATCCTGCCAAAAAGCAAACTCGACTGCCTGTTTTGTGTGACTTTACTTAGTGAATATGAGAGCAGTGGTAAAACCAGTGCATGCGCCTCTGTGCCAAAGTACCGATGCTCATATGGGTTGCCTTTGGGCTGTGTTTTATCGCTGCCTCTGTGCATATCAGAAACATAGAGCAGGAAAAAATCAGAAAAACACTGGCAATAGGAAAAGGCAGCACTCAAAACCTGCCAAGCCCAGGCCAAAGGCCCATGTAGCAGAGGTACAAAGACCGAAGGGTGGCGAGAAGGCTTGGTCTTCTTGGCAAGCCTTCCTGGAGAGACGGCTCAACAAACAGAGCACCACAATGGAAAGGGCTTGGCTTACCCTTCACCCCCAGCAATGTCTCTGGCCACCCCTTTATTTGGAAATGGGCCCCACCAGAAGGGATACGGGGCTTCAGGACCGCCCTTAGCCACGGGGAGAAGGCTCTGCTTATTGTGGGCTCTTTCCTTCCTCCCCGTAGCTAGCTCATCTGTGTTTTGTTTTGTTTTGTTTTGTTTTGTTTTGTTTTGTTTTGTTTTGAAGAAAGTTGAGGGAGGCACAATACACACATCACACTCTATGAAATGGAGTTGCATCTGGGCCTTTGCCAAGATCGCACGACATGCAATAGCCTGAAGAAATTGCTCCAGGTTTTGGCTTGTTATGGCAGACCAGGTCAACGAGGAGGGCATCATACAAACTGCAGACCTACTGAGACCGAAGGAGGTGCTGCTTCTTGAGCCTAGAATGGGCCTCCTCTTTGGCCAGGTGGGCTTTAGGAAAAATCTTCCCTCTTCTGTGCATTCACAACTCCATTCGGAGACCACGAAAGTTGGAGTCACCGAATAGCAGAGCTGGAGGGAGCCATGAAGGCCATCAGGTCCAACTCCCTGCTCAGTGCAGGACACCTGGTTCAACCATCCCTCTCAGGTGGCTGTCCAGCCGCCTCTTGAAGGGCTCCAGGGTGGGGGAGCCTACCACATCCCCAGGTCTTTGGCTCCATTGCTGTGCTGCTCTCACAGTCAGATGTTCTGGCAGAACGTGGCTTCCTGCATTTGAGCCCATCATTTCATGTCCTGCACTCTGGCATGATCGAGAAGATCCTGGCCTTCCTCACGGAGACTACCTTTCAAGTAGTTGAGGAGTGCATGAAGAGGAAACCTTGTGTGTGTGGTGTTTGTGTGAGGGAGATTAATTAGTTCTGAAGTTTTAAGAATATCCCCCAAAAGATGCTACATGATTAGACAGCATCAGCTTGAGGGAAAGCCAAGGGTAACTGGAAGTAGCCAAATGCCTGGAATAATCCTGTTGAATTTTGCAGTTTCTGCTCCTGAAAATACACCCTTCCCAATGCACAATATGGAAGTGTTCCCTTTTCTTTTCTCAGGACACCTTCCTTGCCATATTTGGACTGAATTTCTGGGATCCCAGTCCCAATACTAGATCCCAGCATTCAGGCCTTGAGGTGTGGAATACCTGCTTGGCTTCTTTTCTCCTACGGAAACCTCTGCTGAAGAGGTTGTCTGTTTGCTGAAACAAAGGAATCTTGCCTCCATCGCTCTTTCTTTTTGCACTCCTCTTGTCTGGGGGTCGAAATATCATTCCCTTTATATCTACCATTAAATCAGGTGTTAATTGAAGACTTGCGAGACAGGAGTGGCAACAGATGAGTGCATTAAGTACATCTGCTGCAACACACGATGTATTGAATTATGAAACACACCTGTTCGTTATCAAGTGTGCCCGTTATTCGTGCGTCATGTCTGTTTTCCGATCGGTCATTCGGCAATGAGTCTCGAGTTCATCTGTTTCCATAGGTATTTACCTCTCATCCAAAGGTGCCCGCTTGGGTATTTACAAATAATTATAATTTATATTATCATTTAAGTACTAATGCCAATAATATTATTTATTTATATTTAATTATATATGAACATTGTTATTTTATAATTCAATACATCCATTGTGTGTGGCAACGGGCATACTACTGTGTTTTCCCATTCGTCTGGTTGACAATCTTAACTGGGGCTTATTTTGGGGGGTAGGGCTTATATTACGAGCATCCTGAAAAATCATGCTAGGGCTTGTTTTCCCGTTAGGTCTTATTTTCGGGGAAACAGGGTCGTTACTCCTTCACATGAGCAGTTAGTATTTTTTGTGTCTCTGGCCATCTTGTGCTGGTACGGTACCTCGGAGTAGGGATTCGTGTGCTGTTTAAGTGACCCGATACGTGTAAACTAGTGTGTTGCAGCCTCTGTAGGAACCTGGTTTATGGAGGAGGAACTCGAAATACACAAACCCACAATTCATTCCCCTCACCTGCACTCAGTCACTCAACCCCAAGCTGTTGTATTCACACAAGCACAAATGCAGGGCCCCCGACCAGGCCAGGACTTGTGCCCCACCCCACCGGAGACTGAAAACAAGACACAACATCAAACATCGCACAGCACAGACGGCAAAGAGGTGTGTGGCCAGCCCTCTACGCAGCCTCCTCCGTGTCGCCCAGACATTTAAACAGAGGGTAGGAGCAACATCCGTGTGGGGAGTTGCCGGAAACAAACAGTCAAAGAGCGAGAATATTTCGTTACCTTCTCGCTGCTCTTCCCATGCTTTCTTAAGAGAGTGCCCTGTAGAAACGACATCACAAAGTGATCAATGTGGAAGAGGAGGACATGGGCAAGCATGCCTATGCGTGGGACTCATCCAGAAAAGGAGGAAGGGAGGAGGAAGGCAGGCAGGCAGGCAGGCAGGCAGACTCAGGATCTGTCATCCAGAGGCCGTCTGGAAAGCAGTGCACTCAGAAATCGCTTGGCGACTGGAGAAGGATGCTCAGCCTGGAGTGTAATTGCTCTGAATCCCCCCAGACACCTCTCTAGTGTTGTCAGAACAGCATCAAGAAAAAGTGGGAAGAAAGGGGGGCCACAGACCCAATCCTCCTGCCCCCAAATCCTGCAGAAGGTGTGGAATGGCCCCGATAATGCACCCAACGGTTTGCCTAAATGCTAAACCGCCCAGGAAGTTGTGCGGTTATGTACCCAGGGGAAACCGGCTTCTTGTTTTATTTATTTATTTATTTATTTATTTAAAGTATTTATATGCCGTCCTGTCGCGAAAGCCTTCCTGGGATGCCTCTTGGAGGCTGGAATGTAAATGAGACTCAGATATTCTCCGAGGATCACCATCATTTAGCAAGCTACTGGCCCCACATGACCTTGGTAACATGAAAAAGGCCAGAAATGCGCTTAAAGAGAGAGAGAGAGAGTGAGGTTCTCTCTGATTTTAAGCACAGAATCACAGCAATGGAAGGGTCTCTGGGGATCATTTAAACCAACCTACCTCTCCAAAAAGGTATCTCAAACCTTTTTATTTAATTGTCATTTTAAAAAAATAGCATTTTCACGTTTTAGCAGTTGCTTTGAATTTTGATTTAAATTTTATTGTACTATGTTATTTATTTATAGATATGTTGTTCTATTGTATTTTGATTTTAAGGATTGTAAGCCGTCCTGAGATGCCATGCATAAGTTTTAAATAAATAAATAAAGAGTAAGATCATTTCCCACCAAATGGCAGTCTAGCTTCTTTTTAAGAACCTCCACAGAAAAGAATGTGACTCCATCATGAAATTTTGGAAATAGGTTTTTAAAGAGTATAGTAAAATACTGTTTAAATATAGATATATGCCCTGGAATTGCATTACTCTCAGTATTTGATATAAAACACTGGAGCTGGAATAATAAAGAAATAATAACAAATTTAATAACTGATTCAAGATTAAGTATAGCTAAGAATTGGAAAGTAAAATATGATTACCAATTGTCTGATTGGTATAGAGAAGTTTGGGATATGGCTATTAATGACAAATTCACATGTGGGATTAAAGGGAGAAAACAGCATATACAGAAAAATAAGTTTAATGATTTTTGGATACATTTATTGAGTATGTTTCTAAAAAAAGGGAAAGGTTTTGAGCCTTTGAAAGAATTATGACAGTTTTGGAAGCAGGGGTGCCTGAAATGAACAAAATGTATTTTTTCTGATTGTAGCATGTATGATTGGTTCTGGTGTTCGAGGGGGAATGTTTTGTAAGAATGATTTAAATTGTATATTTAAATTTACTTGTTTCTATTAAAAAACTTAATCCTGTGCAATTAAAAACTTAATCCTACGCAATCATTGTACGCTGTCCTGAGATTTTTATATAATAGGACAGCTTATAAAAGCTTTTAATAAATAAATAAATAAATAAATAAATAAATAAATAAACAAACAAACTTAATCCTGAGCAATTATCAGGTATAGCAGTATTTACAGAAAAAGTAACACATTTAGCCATTTTAATGGACTGTTGTAAACTGCCCAGAGAGCCTCAGCTTATGGGGAGGTATAGAAATAAATGAAATGAAAATGGGGCAGGGAGAGAGAACCTCCAGAGAAGGAGAATTCACTGCTTTTTGCCTTCTTGGCAGAATGCCTCTCAGAGATCCAGCCCGAATCAGAACGTTGTGGTTCCAGGTTCGAATTTCACCTCCGCTTTCAAAGTGGCCTTTTCGCAGCCTCACTCTTCTAGCCTCACCACTCCTCTCCGCATTAACTATGGCACAACCTTGCAGGGTGGGCTAGAAAATTCTAAAAGGATGCAGAAGAAGCAGGCAATGCAGTGCCAGAAGGCACCTGTATCTTGTCAGCATCTGCCCAGGTGCCTTAATACCTTACCTTTTCTAAAGAGCACACACAGAGTTTTTCCTGGATTGCTGTGAAATATATTTCTACTGGTGCTGAAAGCAGGGGTTTCCAAGGAGGCGATTTGTGCCCCAGGGCTCAGACTGGATCTCTGCCTTGTACTCAGCATTTGGGGCTGGTGACTTGTCCTTTGCTGTTGCTTCCCACAGCAGCCATTTTGTGGCAGTGCCCGGGAGAGTTTCTAAGATTGCCTAATGTGCCCAGAACTGGGATTCTTGCCCCTGCCCTAAAGCTCTCTGGAAATACTGAGACATCCCTGCTAGGGATGTGTGAGGAATAGATTTTGGGGGTGGGGATCCGCTGGATTCCTGGGCTCAGCGCCCTGGGCCATGGTCCACTTCATGGAGGCCCCGAGTCTTAGTTCCTGGCCAGTGTGCCCAGACTTCACACGTGTGTCCACAGTCCCACATGCAGGCTTTGAAGACATCCAAAAGGCTAGCAGGATGGATTCCCTAAATCCTGCACTGGTATATGAACCCACACCCGCCCTGCTGGAATGGTGGTGGTGGCAGAAACTCACCTGACCCCGAAGACAAGCGGGCAGAGTTCCCACTTCCCCTCAACAGACCCCAAACTGGTAAAGGCTCCAGGAGGCATGGAAGTACACTGGAAGCACTGGGAATGGTGCGGATATGAGCCTGGCCTGGGCAGCTGGACTCCCAGAGGATCCAGTGCCTGCACCTTGTCGATAGGATCCTTCCTACGGGGAATCCCCTGGAGGTCATGAAGCACCGGGCAGCCCCCAGTCCTCTGCCCTCCTAGTCTAGCAGGTGGCAACAAGTTTGGGGGGCAGCTCCCCGGAGAAGGTGGGCATCCAGTGGCCAGCGCAGTGAGCATGCACTCTGGGCATCGTCCGGCTGTGAAGCCCGAAGGGCAACAGGGACTCCATCCACGGACCCCGTGGGGCTCCCAACCTGCCTGCTCCGAGGGGGGAGCCCACCATCTGACGGGCTGCAAGAGGGAGGGGAAGGGCTGCAAGAGGGCCTCCGAATGTGCCCCATGGCCCCGCGAAGCATCCCCGGTCGGAACTTCTTGTTACCTTTTCCCACCGCCAGGGACGGTCCCGCCGCAACCCAGGGAGAGAAACCGCACAGAGTGGGGCAGCGGGCTTTCCACCGAGGCGCGACAGCTGTCACGAAGCAGCTCTGCAACATGGGGGGGGGGGGGCGCAGGACAAGAGGCGGCAGAGCGGCGGGCAGAGGGGAGCGAGAAGAGAAGAGGAGGCACAGAGGACGATGGAGGGAGACAGCACAGGGACGACAAAACCAGCTCGAGTTTCCAGAGAGGTGGGGAGCACTGGACGCCAAGGCACACAGACAGGAAGAGAGAGAGAGAGAGAAAGAGACAAACACGGGAGGCAGGTGTCTGCCATACTTACAATCATCTGCCGGGAGCGGAGCAGAATAATCAGAAAGAACAACCATCACATGAGTAGGGCATTGGCCTCGATCCACCGCGCTCCCTCCAAGCCTGCCCCTCCCACACCCCGAGCACGCTGTTTAGTCCCCCACTGTTTTAATTGCCAATTATCTTAAGTTGTGGTTGCTACAGTGAGGACTGGATGCTGTGATGCTTTTATTTTTTAATCGGATTTGATCGCTGTTGTTGTAAACCATCAACCGTCAGTGATGGGATGGTATATAAAAGTTTAAGATAAATAAATACATAGAATAAGCACCCCGCCCACAACTCGTGTGCAGCATTTCATCTGGAGAAGCCCTGGCCAAATTTTGACTTCAACTGGACAGAAAGAACCTTTTACTTCCAAGACTGTTTGGTGGGGAAGGGAATCGACGGCTTAGCTCAACCCGGTTTGGGTTGCTTACATCTTAACACTCCTTGGAAACTTTGTTCCTTGAGCCACAGTTGTGCCGAAGGGTTGGGACTGAGGTTGTTTTCCTCCTGGTGAGCATTTCATTTCAACAACTACACAGTAGGTAAAATAAGCAGCGTTCCAGGAGCAGCTGTACCTACTGAATTTGCCTGGTGCAAATAAATGTGTTTCGTCCCATCCTATTTTCATACAAACTTACAAACATCAGATGCACATTTCTTCACATGCGGGTTGGGCAGAAAATGAGATATTAACATCTGAATATGGGAAAAGAGACACTGATAGATTCGTTCGTCCCTATCTGACACGTGACCCAAGTTACATGGCCCTTCCCTAGCAGGCACACAACTCACACTCAATGCCACTGATTCCCCTGTGCACACATGCTGTGAGAATTTGCCATTTTTAGAAAATCCCAAGCTAGAATACTTAAGTTCTCCCCATGATCTTTAACATTTCCATCCACTCCTCAGGACATCAATCTAACAAACCAACCAACCCATGGTTTTCATAACTTTCAAAATGTTTTAAAAGAATTTGAAAAGAACAGTTTTATTATAATTCCTGGGAGGATGGCTGAGAAATGGTTATTCCACCTCTCTCAAAGCCACCTTCCTTTTCATGAAATACCAAGAGAAGAGCAACTGAAAATGCTTAACCACGCAATATAGTAGTAGAATATGGTTGCGTTATAGGACAGACACACAAAGACACGTAGGAAATAAAGTTGTAAGGCATTCCACGCCATTGATATGAAAAACAAATTGGTAACTTTGTTAATGAATTGTAAGCCGTCCGGAGATGTAAGTAATTGGACGGCATACAGATTTTATAAATAAATGAATAAATAAATAACTGCCTGGTTAATGTCTCAAGCTTGACAGCTGAGTCAAAGTTCGTCTATCAAGGTCAACGTGTCATCTGAGGGGTAAAGACTTATGAAGAGTTTGGGCACCTCCTTAAATGGTGACCCATAACCTTCAAAACTTGAGATACGATGTGAAAAGTGTGAACATCAGCCTTGCTTTCTGGATGATGCACAATTAGTTCCTTGCTACCACTGTGGAAGGCTGAAGAAATTAAGCCAATGGCCTTCAAGACAAGCCAAGCAGATGGATATGCCAGGCTGGACAACCCAGGCCACGGACTAAGCGCTGTGCAAAGATGGCAGATACCGACCCAAGGATGACACTGTGTGACCCTCTCATGGCCAACCTGACGGGTACAGGAGGGAACACACAACCACATGCTGAGTTCCAAGCAAAATTGGTTCCCAAACGCAAAGCATTTACTCTTCCTTTCACATAAGAAAGCTCTCAGCTGTATTACAAGCAGGGCAGTGGGGCTGGGCAAGCTGCGCCGCCTATCCCCCTTTCCCAGGATCAAGACCAGTGCTTTGTTCTGTCATAGAACGCGCCGGAACAGAGTTCCGGCACCTTTTTTCAACAGATTTCCCAAGTTTTAAACTGTTGAAAATTTGATGTTTGGTCCACATGGATTCGAATCGCCCTGTCGAGCGTAGCAGGTCGGCGGCAAAATCATTAAATTGGTGCATGCGGGCTGCTTGTGTGTCGAGTCTGATGTGTGCATACTTCACACTGGTTGTGATGGCGCTGCTCGGCTTGTGATTGGTTGTGTGGTCGTGCGCTGAGTGCTTACTGTGGGCGGCGACCGATATGTTTCGTTACACAACTGACATGTGTGGGTGTGCATACAGTGATTGACTTCATGCAAAAGGTAAATAATTTCATGAGTTCTGGCACCTTTTTTCTTACACAAAAAGCACTGATCAAGGCTAAAGGAAATATTGTCTGCCTCGGGGGTAAAATATCTCATGCAGCATCAGAATGGATCCCCCTAAGTTTGTATACCACCTGGTATGGATAAAACATTACCGGTAATGTCTGTTGCAAACATTTTTGCTGAAAGTCCATTTTGCTTTTCTGTCTTGTGCCAACATGATGACATTACTACAGTCATCCCAGGATTTTGTGTGCACAGTACATGAAAAAAATTGCACACAGTAATGGACCCCCTTAGGTTTGAAGGGGCTAATCCTGACATTCTTAGGCATTTCATTAAGAAATCACTAGGGTGCCTCTAGAACTCAGCTGGCGAATCCAAGTACTTCAGGGACCTTTCCAGAAATCCAGCAATGATCAGGGAGAAACCTAGTTCTAGGAAAACGCAAAGAACCGGATCCTGTGCCATGTCAGCTGCAAGGCACAGAGACAATATTCTGCACCAGCTTCTGTTTGAGGGTACACGTTGCGGAGCAATTCTCATCTTGAGGTCAGAAATCCTCACACTGAATATTTCAGCAAAATACCACGATTTGAGGCCCGTGTGAGTCATAGAATCCTAGCATTGCAGTGCTGGATGCAAGGACTCCAGGGTCAAGCATCTCAAATTGATGCTAGTAAGAAACTTCCCTCTTGCCTTCTCCTCTACCAATACACTGCTGTTCCTGAGTGGAACAAATCCCATCATGATCACTACTATTCCTATTATTTTCAGTCCAGTGCAAGCTGCTCTGCTTTTTAGCATACTTCTTGGTAAAGTAGATCAGTACACTAATATTCCTCTCTTGTTTTCCTCTGTCTTGAGAGACATAGAGGCCGTTTTCCTTATGTCCATTTCCCATTTGCGAAAATGCAGATATGAACATTAATTTTGTTTCAGTTGTAAATTCCCTGAACTTGGCTGCACTCATAGCCCCAAACCAAGTGGCTGCCTATTTCCCCTCAAGGAATCTGCCAGTTCCCAAACATGCAACTGTGCTTGAAAAATACATATTTGAATCAAAGCACCCTTTTCACAAAAAAAAAAAAAAAAAAATACACATGAGGGAGGGAGAGAACCTTTTTGACAAATGCACCCACATCTCCCATTTGGACAAAAAAATAAAGAAATGGGTCACAAGGGAGACTGGGAGCAAGATTTGCTGAGCGGAGAAGTGGGTTTGCAGAATCTCAGCATTATTCTTAATTACGTTTTTAAACCGCCCCATAGTCCACTGCATCCTGTAGAAGCACAATTTCTCCTTTCCCTCAAGAAGACTTTCTGGCTTTTCTGTTTAAGAGGATTTTCACAACTACCAAGAGCCAGGAGCTCTATTTCATTGCCATAAATGCCAAAACAAGGACTGCTAGAAGCTCACTTGTTTAAAATGAAACTTGAGGATTTTAAGAGGAAGGAAAGATACCTCCAGGTTGGCCTTCCAAACCTTTAGGTCATGGGTCCTCAAACTAAGGCCTGCAGGATGGATCCGGCCCGCCATGCCCATTTAACCGGCCTGCCCCACAGGTTTTGCACTCGACAGATGCGCAGCTTGCTCGCGAGGAGGTCATTTTGGACTAGCACAGAGAAAACGATCTCCTCACGAGCAAGCCGGCACCTTGCCCTGCATGCCCCCCCCCCCCCCCCCCCCCTTGCCTTGTGCATGTGCGTGCCCCGCCCCCTCACCGGCTCGTGCCCCCCCACCGGCACCTGTCAAGTGGCCCCCCTTTAGAAACAGTTTGAGGACCCCTGCTTTAGGTTTTCCACACTCCTGGAGTTTTTGAATTCAGTTAGGAGGGGAGGAAAAACATCATGGAAAGAGCGCCTCCCCACTGCCCTGCTAAGATGACGACGCCGGCGGGACTCACCGTCTGGTCCGTGAGTGGCGGGAGCACAATGGTCTTCTCCATGGTGTTCATGATCAGCCTCCATAGCTCCTTCAGCACTCGCTTCAGGACGGTCTTCTCACAGATTTTAGCAAACAGTGTCAGGCTGGAAAACAAAAGGCCGAGAAGGAGAAGAGCATAGGCATCTGAAGCCAGTGAGAGAAAGAGGGCGAGTATCTCTGTTTTGTTGGGTCTCGACCCATTCTGTGGAGGCTTCTAAACTTGTCTTCATCCTCCTTTGGATGGTTGGGTTCCAGAATACCTGGTTCAGCATCCAGAGTGAAGTATTCATTATTTCCACTGCCCTGCAATTTGTAAGTTGGGTGCATTGTTTTCTACAATTTTCCTCTTCTTCAGCTGCATTTCTCCTTTTCTCTAGATTTATAGTGTACTAGATGGATAATCTGCTATAAATATCTATAAAGATAGATATTTTATACATATCTATATCTATAAATTCACTGTAGAAGACCCTGATGCTGGGAACAATGGAAGGAAAAAGAAGGAGGGGATGGCAGAGGATGAGGTGGCTGGATGGGGTCACTGGGACGGTGGGTGTGAGCTTGGGTGGACTCCGGGGGATGGTGGAGGACAAGAAGGCCTGGGGGAGTGTTGTCCATGGGGTCGCGATGGGTCGGGCAGGACCTTGTGGCTAAACAACAACAAATATTTATAAACATCTACAAATATTTTATAAATAATGTGCTACCATAGTGACAGATTTTATTTTCCTGGGCTCCAAGATCACCACAGAAAGGGACTGCAGCCAAGAAATTAAAAGGCGCTTGCTCCTGGGGAGGAAAGCGATGGCAAATCTAGACAGCATACTAAAACGCAGAGACATCACCCTTCCAACAAAAGTGCGTAAAGTCAAGGCTATGGTTTTCCCAGCTGCAATGTATGGCTGTGAAAGCTGGACCATAAGGAAGGCTGAGCGCAGAGGAATTGAGGCCTTTGGATTGTGGTGCTGGAGGAGACTCCTGCGAGTCCCTTGGACCGCGAGGCGATCAAACAGGTCAGTCCTAGAGGAGATCAACCCCGACTGCTCTTTAGAAGGCCAGATCCTGAAGATGAAGCTCAGATGCTTTGGCCACCCAATGAGAAAGAAGGACTCCCTGCAGAAGACCCTGATGCTGGGAACAGTTGATGGCAAGAGAAGGAGGGGACAGCAGGGAATGAGGTGGCTGGATGGGGTCCCTGGGGCAGTGGGTGTGGGCTTGGGTGGACTTCAGGGGATGGTGGAGGACAGGAAGTCCTGGAGGAATGTTGTCCACGGGGTCGTGATGGGTCGGGCATAACCTTGCGACTAAGCACAATTGCTACCAACGTTGCCACAACCTCCCATCCTGAGAAGTTCTCCCACAGGGTAGCTGTGACTGATGGAAACAAAGCATTTATGATCTGGAATCTCCAACAACAACCCAAAAGGCTATGAATGGCTTTAAAATGAGATATAAAGCGAGGAGTGGAAAGGATGCTGATGCACCCGCAGGGCAGTGGACCCTGGGCTTCCGGTCCCTTCTGCCTGTTTGCACTCACTTGCTATCCAGAAGGTCCATGATGGGCTGCAGGACGTTGTCAGCATCTTGGGCCACACTGCTGCAGGCGCTGGCAGGCATGTTGCCCGTGCCTTTCACCTGGGTCAGGATATCACCCATCTGCTTCACACAGTCCTCGATGTGTGGCTGAAAACTGTGGGGGAAGAGGAGAGGCCTTGCTATGTGTGCAAAAGAGTCTTGGCAGAGGGCTGAATGGGTCATGTGCAGAGTGGAGCTGAAATGCCCCCCCCCCCAAGTTGTGCTGATGGAGTGGGGAGTCCAAATCCCAAGGGTCTGAGAAGATAAGGAATGCCTTGCAAGACGGGACCAAAGAGACAGGACCCATCTCCAGCTGGGCACAGCCAGATGTTACTGGGAAGGGGATGAGTGGGGCACAAGGATGAAAGCGGCACTCTGTCCCCCAAGCATCTAGCACACAGGGTAGACTGCTCCTGCTGGTGGAAGCTCCATCACACTATCATGCTCCAGGAGCTGCCCTGGGTGGCCACTGCTGAAAACATGGGCCCTTCTGTGATCCAGCAGGAGAGCTCACTAATTGATTGGCCGACTAATAGATCCCATTTGCAACTGGCTGGTCAAGGAAGGGAGGATGCTGTAGCATTGCCACCCAGTGGTCCGTACCTTGTTGCGAACACTCGGCTCAGCTCATCTAAGACGTTGTTAAGCTTCACTTGAAGTTCCTTGAGGATGTCACTGGCCTCGGAGTCCAGCTAGAAAGACAGAAGACAACCATTGGCATGGGGAGGGACAGAAATGGCATTTGCACCCACAATATTAAATATGTGCCTCTGTGTCTCCCTTTGGGGGCTGTTCTGCCCCAGAAGCTCTTGCCTCTGTCCCACCAGAGGGTACCAGCCAGTGCTGGGAAAATTCAGCTAAATCCTGGCAGAAAATGGTTGTTTATGTGTCTTTGTTATCAAATGCCTGCACCCCTTTCTCAGGAAGCACCCAAAAAAGATTCCAAGCCAAGTCACTCTTTGGCATTGCTGTTGCCTTGAGAAGAAGGTGTTCTTAGCTGGACTGGGAAGCCACACATACCTGTGTTATTATCAGCTGTAGAAAAACTGAAATAATGCTGTTCATTAGTTTCTGGATGGGCCCACCGAAGCAGAGGCAAGCTCCTGCTGAGTTTAAGTTGCCAAACCAGGTTTCCTACATGCTTCCTCCCTTAGACACATTTACATGTGTGAACAGACAGACCTGGATGACCTGAACTGTCAAGAATTTGCTGGACTGACCCATCAATACAGCAATCAGTCATGCTGTTGTTAACAATATTTCTGATCGGTTTAGGACGTTATGTCATGTCTAGAGACTCCAGGATGCTCTTGTACCGAGATTATCTGGAAATTTAATACTCTGTATTGGTGTACGTGACTAGCAGGTTATAAAACTGTCTGTACATGGGCTGTGATTTTGCAGTTGGTGGTGAGAACCACTACCCGGGAGCATGTGGTGGTTAGTAACTGCAGGAAGCCTGGGTGATCTTTCGATAAAAGTGCTGAGTTCAAGGCGAACGGGGTCTTTCCTGATTGAACCTGGTTATCCTTCTTGCGGCTGCCATCGAGGCTTTCCTGACACCAGCCATGGTTATCCCGCCTACACCCCACCAGACGGATCCACTGGCTTGCTCTCTCATTCAAGCTACTTTGGAAGCGCAAACCTCTTTGCCACCCATGGCTTCAAACATCTTCTCCAGCTGGACACGAAGCTGCTGTATGTTATTCATCAGGATGCAGGGCTGGAAAAGGAGACAGCAAATCAAGTCACTACCATGCCAGGACCAGCCTGGGAAGAGGGGCTACACTTCACCAATGCTATGCTCCTCCATCGCTGGGCTTTAACGAGGAGCAAGTCCAGCTTTTCGCTTCCTTGTTTGATCGGAGTCCTTTCCTCTGGAGCTGTATTCTGTCCATGCTCATTTACAGCTCGACACCCACCCTGCCAAGATGGCGTTTGCACAGCAATGTTATCAGTAAAATGCCATGCACGGAAAACACATATATTTCCCACAACCCCACGGCCCCTTGGGCAGATCCTCCTGCTCCACTGCCCCGGGGTGCTTTGCACCCTGCATTTTGTCTAGATGGCTCTTTTGGCCACCTGGACTGGCTTCCGGGAAGGGAAGAGGGCTGGAGCATGGACTGGAATGGGCATGACTCTGCGGCCCAGCCTCCTCTCCTCCTAGCCCCCAGACATGCCCCCTTCTCCCCTCCGAGGGCCAGTTACAATCTGGGGTGGGGGGAGCGGACCCAGCTCTTTCCGAGAAGGAGGGGCAGGCAGGGTTGGTTTCGGTGACCCACGTCCTGTGTCAGCTGCACCAACTGTCTAGCCCTAAACCCCACTCCCAACACCCCCAGCAGCCATCTTTCGGAAATTCAGTTCTGCAGGCAGGTGAGAGCAGACAAGGCAAAAAGGAGGGCATGTGGGTGGGATAGATCACCACTTTTTCCTTCTCCTTGGAGCAGTAGGAGGCAAAGTCCTTCGAAATGATCTCCGCATATTGTAGCAGAACGTTGCTGATGGTCTGAAACGCAAACAAGGCCAGTGAGAGGAGGAAATCGGACCTGGGGCATCACGCCCAAAGATGAGATCTTCCTCGTCCTTTTCCCCACCAAATCCAGGGCCACCCTGGATAGAGTCCCCCTTCTTAGACTGTCTGGACACTGGCTACTCATGGACCCACCCACCATGAATGTGTAAGAATGCGACACTCAACTTCTTAGATCAGGGCAAAAGTCCATCCAGGTTACTATTCCCCAACCTGGCTCTTTCCAGAAGTGTTGGATTCCAGCTCCCATCACCCTCATGACCCAAAGCCATGGATGTTGGGATCTGGAATCTAACATACCTAAAGGTGCCAGAGTGGGGAAGACCAATCAAACCTGCCATCCTGGTTTCTGTGATTCTGTTTACTTTTTAAATTAGAGTTATATCCTGCTTTCCCCACAACAAACTCCAAATGGCTGGCATCCTTGTCTCCCCCCGCTCTTAATTTTATCCTCACCACAACAACCCTGTGAGGTAGGTTGGGCTGAGAGACAGGGACTGGCCTAAAGTCACCCAGCTGGCTCCATGGCTGAGCAAGGACTTGAACCCGGATCGCTGGGGTTCCAGTCCCATGCTCTCATCCACTGTACCACATTGGCTCGCTGATACACCCAATTGTTCCTTTTCAGCCAGTCAGCGGTTCTCCTGCAGCAGTTCTAGGGAGCCGTCATGGGAGGTCGTTGAGGCCCCATCGGTGAGGGTGTTCAAGGACAGGCTGGACATGCACATGGTGGGCATGTCGTGAGCGAAGCCGACTGGAGCCGGGGTCAGACTAGATGGCCCGTAAGACCCCTTGTGACTCGCTCTGTTTCTATGTCTCCTAGGGAAAAGTGGAGCTGCAGGGCAGCCTGGCAAGCTAAGCCTCTTGTTTCGGAGATGCCGCATGGCTGAATTGCTCCCCGTGACTTCAGCTTCCTGGCTGCAAACCCACAGCTCCTAGCCCCTTTCCAGGTGAGAGCTGTTCTTCCTAGCAAGGCAGCAAGGACACCTCCTTACCTTGGCAAACCGGCGCATGTAGTGGCCAACAATCTGTGGGTCGGGGCATTCCAGCTTCTTGATGATCTCAAAGCTCTGGTTGAGCTGGGAGAAGACGTCCACCACCGAGCAGGAGAAAAGGGCATGCTCAGAGGTCTGCTGGAACTGAAGGGAGACACCGAGACACAGAGGCCTTGAGGTCCTTGTGATGGAGCGCAGGACTGCTTTAGGCTGTCTCCTGCTCTTGGTCTTCTGATTCAGCCCTGCTTACAGGGGTCTTCCCACATCTGGTGGCCCCCAGATGGGCTGGGCTATAGGGGAACCAGGGCATAAGTGTGCTGGTGGATGATGGGGCTTTAGTCCAACATGTTTGAAGACCAATGGGTTAGGGAAGGCTGAGCTACACTGTCTGGCAGTGGCTCTCCAGGAAGTCCTTCCCAAACCCTGTCCGGAGATTCGAGAAGTTGGTGCTTGGGTTGCTGAGTGTCGTGCCTGACGGCGCGACAGAGATGTCTCCTCGTGAGGAAGAGGCAGGAGCTAACAGAGTCAGGCATTGGAACAAGGGGACTTATAGTTGAGGCCCAGCGCCCGGACGGCCCCTCTGCAGCCTGGCTCTGAGACTGCTGAGCAAGGAACCTCTCCACAGCCTGACCCTTAGCCCCTGAGCAAATGGCCTCCCCGCAGACTGACGGGGAGGCGTCTGAAAGAGGAGCTTCCTCTCATCCTAGCTCTGAGCTGCCTGAACAAGTCCCCCGTCCCCCACCCGGCTCCTGACTCTGAAGCTGCTGGGCAGAGTTCAGGAGAACAAGAAGGCATAACAGGGAATTTGGCAAATGCCCGAATTATGAGATCTTGAAGACAACGAGTCCAATTACAGCGACAGGACAGAGGTCTGTCCCACCCACGAACGGAAAGGCGAGACAGGAAGGTCTGATGTCACGTGGTCTCCTGACGCAGCTCAGAAAGAAGGGAGCAACTGAACTGTAAGGGGCTTGTTACTAGAGCTTATCAGTTGCATCATAAATTTTATAGTGAACAGCAATTAAAGTCTTTAGCTTCACTGCCGGCTGCTGTGTGAGTTAATTGGAGAGGTGACTTACGACCTCACGACATTGAGCCTATCACCATTTTATCTACACAACAACCCTGCAAGGTTGATCAGGTGGCAAGTACGGGCAAACCCACCTTGGAAGCTGCGTCTCCTCCTGACACTCTAGCCCAGAGCACAAAACTATGCTAGATGGGGTTGATGGAGTCCAAAACACTGGGTTTAAACACTGTAGCACAACAGCTCTCCATAAAACATTTTTTAATATTTAAATTAAATTAAATACTAAATATTAAATATTTTAATATTTTATTTACTGAAGCTTTTATATACCGTTCACTTAGCCAGAGGCTCTCCAAACAGCTTACAACCATTGAATGGGAATATTTTTCCCATTAAAAATTATCTGCTGGTGGAACTCCTTTGGCCGCCCTAATCTTGGGGCTGTCCTTTTTCTACTGGATACCTTACCCCATCCTTCTTGTCCCTTTCCAGTGCTCCATGTAGGAAATCCCGTGAAACTTCCTCATTCTCGTCCAGCCACTGTATAACAAAAGGTTCGAACCATCTGGGAAGAAAAACGTGGAAAACTCAAGCCAGAAAACTGCCTCTGCTTTAAAACACAAACACAGTTGGCACAGCAAAACTGGGAAGCAGAGAGGAGCACTCAGCTGAAACCATCCTCCAGTTTCCAGAATTTTCTGCCCCTGTGAAAGAGACATTTTTTCTGCCTCCTTCTCAGAGTTAACCCAAATTGTTGCAAGCACCCAACCCTGCGGACAGTCTCTTTGCAAAAAAAGCTCTCTATTGTCAAAGCGAACAAACTACAGCAACAGAAAGACTGGCCTCCGTGGTTATTTGAACCCAAACTAGAAACGGCTTCTGCCAGCCCTCCTTTTTAGGGTTTTCTGGGCTCCTCCCCTCTGGATGGGTCCTCCAAGATCCATGCAAACCCAGAGTGGGCAGCATTCCTTTTGCAACTGCTTATCATGGGTCCTGGGACTCTCAAGGGCTCATCTTCCTACTCCCCTTTGTTCCATCCTCTTCTCTTGTTCCCATGGTTGGCCTGAGAATCTGGGGTGGGGGGCAGCCTTGAGAGACCCTCCTCCATGTCCCCTGCTCTCAGTTTTCCAAGTGGAAAACTGTAATCCCAGTTGTTGAAGGGTTTCAGAGTTTGTTTATTAGATTTATATCCTGCCTCTTTTCATACAAGGAACTCAAAGCACCTTACACAATTCTTGTGTGTCTCCTGCTCTCAATTTTATTCCCCTCAACAACAACCCTGTAAAGTAGGCTGAGCTGAAAGACTATGACTGGCCCTAAGTTCCCCAGTTGGATCCATGGCTGAGCAGGGACTAGAATCCGGTCTCCTGAGTCCAAGTCTTGTGTTCTCAACCACAACACTATATTGGGTCTCTCTTACTGCCTTGCCGTGGCGAAGGGGCTTGCATAGCTCAATGAAGCTGTGAGCGATGCCATGCAGGGCCACCCAAGACAGGTCATAGCAGAGAGCTCTGGCAAAAGGTGATCCACTGGAGAAGGAAATGGCAACCCACTCCAGTATCCCTGGCATGAAAACCCCATGGGCAGTACCAAAAGGCAAAGAGATATGAGGCCAGAAGATGAGCCCCTCAGGTCGGGAGGTGTCCAATGTGCTACTGGGGAAGAGCAGAGGGCTAGTACTAGTAGCACCAGAAAGAGTGAAGCGACTGGGTCAAAGCCGAAAGGACACTCAGTTGCGGATGTATCTGGTGGTGGAAGGAGAGTCCGATGCTGCAAAGATCTAAACTCCATAGGAGCCTGGAATGTAAGATCCATGAATCAAGGCAAGCTGGATGTGGTCAAACAAGAGATGACAAGACTGAACTCGACATCTTGGGAATCGGCGAACTAAAATGGACAGGAATGGGCGAATTTAATTCAGGTGACCATCAGGTATCCTACTGCGGGCAAGAATCCCTCAGAAGAAATAGAGTAGCCCTTATTGTCAATAAAAGAGTAGGAAAAGTCGTACTGGGATACAGTCTCCAAAATGACAGATTGATCTCAGCTCGAATCCAAGGCAAAACATTCAACATCACAGGAGTCCAAGTCTGTGCCCCAACCACTGGTGCTGAAGAGGCTGAAGTTGACCGGTTCTATGAAGGCCTACAACACCTTCTAGAATTAACACCCAAAAATGATGGCCTTATCATCACGGGGGATTGGAATGCTAAAGTAGGAAGCCAAAAGATAACTGGAATAACAGGCAAGTTTGGCCTTGGAGTACAAAATGAAGCAGGGCACAGGCTGGCAGAATTTTGTCAAGAGAATATGATGGTCATAGCAAAGACTCTTTTCCAACAACCCAAGGGACGACTCTACACATGGCCATCTCCAGACGGTCAACACAGAAATCAGACTGACTATGTGCTCTGCAGCCAAAGATGGAGAAGCTCTATACAGTCAGTAAAAACTAGACCAGGAGCTGACTGCGGCTCAGATCATGAGCTTCTTCTTGCAAAATTCAGGCTTGAATTGAAGAAAGTAGGGAAAAACACTAGGCCACTCAGGTATGTATGACCAAAATCATATTCCAGATGACTATACAGTAGAGGTAACAAATAGATTGCCTGAAGAGCTAGGGATGGAGGTTCTCTTTCTCCCTTGCCTTTCACTTCCCTTCTTTCCTCAGCTATTTGTAAAGCTTCCTCAGACAGCCATTTTGCTTTCTTGCATTTCTTTTTCTTTGGGATGGGTTTAGTTGCTGCCTCTTGTACAATGCTGCGAACCTCCGTCCATAGTTCTTCAGGCACTCTGTCTATCCGATCTAATTCCTTAAATCTATTTGTCACCTCTACTGTATATTCATCAGGAATATGATTTAGGTCACACCTGAGTGGCCTAGTGCTCAATATGACAGCAAATTTGGCAAACTCCACAGTGGCCACAGGATTGGAAAAGGTCAGTTTACATTCCAATCCCAAAGAAGGGCAATGCCAACGAATGTTCGAACTACCGCACCATTGCACTCATTTCACATGCTAGCAAAGTTATACTCAAAACCCTACAAGCTGGGCTCCAGCAGTATGTGGACCGAGAACTACCAGAGGTACAGGCAGGATTTCGAAGAGGCAGAGGAACTGGAGATCAAATTGCCAACATACGCTGGATCATGGAGAAAGCTAGGGAGTTCCAGAAAACAAATATTTATTTATTCATTCATTTATTTAAAACTTTTCTATACCATCCCATACTTAAATGACTCAGGATGGTTTTCAGCAAACTAATCCTAAACATAGAAATAAAAATAGTTGCCCAGCATCCAATGTTAAAATACAAACCCGCTAACTGAAACAGTTAACAATTGAAATACTGGGAGAATAAAAAAGTCTACTTAGGCTTCATTGACTATGCTAAAGCCTTTGATTGTGTGGATCACGACAAATTGTGGCAAGTTCTTAAAGAGATGGGAGTCCCAGACCATCTTATTTGTCTCTTGAAAAACCTGTATGCGGGTCAAGAAGCAACAGTGAGAACTAGACATGAAACCACGGATTTGTTCAAAATTGAGAAAGGAGTTCGGCAAGGCTGAATACTGTCTCCCTGCCTATTTAACTTATATGCAGAGCACATCATGAGAAAGGTGCTATATAAATCACAAGTTGGAATTAAGATTGCTGGGAGAAATAACAACCGTAGACATGCAGATGATACCACTCTCATGGCAAAAGGTGAAGAGGAACTAAAGACCCTCTTGATGTGGGTGAAGGAGGAGAGTGCAAAAGTTGGCTTGAAACTCAACATTAAGAGAACTAAGATCATGGCATCTGGTCCTCTCACTTTCTGGCAAATAGATGGGGAAGAAATGGAGGTAGTGACAGATTTTATTTTCCTGGGCTCCAAGATCACCGCAGACGGGGACTGCAGACAAGAAATTAAAAGACGCTTGCTCCTTGGGAGGAAAGCTATGGTAAATCTAGACAGCATACTAAAAAGCAGAGACATCACCCTGCCAACAAAAGTGCGTATAGTCCAGGCTATGGTTTTTCCAGTTGCAATGCATGGCTGTGAAAGCTGGACCATAAGGAAGGCTGAGTGCCAAAGGATTGAGGCCTTTGGATTGTGGTGCTGAAGAAGATTCCTGAGAGTCCACTGAACCATGAGGAGATCAAACCGGTCAGTCCTAGAGGAGATCAACCCTGACTGCTCTTTAGAAGGCCAGATTCTGAAGATGAAACTCAAATACTTTGGCCACCTAATGAGAAGGAAGGACTCCCTGCAGAAGACCCTGATGCTGGGAAGGACTGAAGGCCAAAAAGAAGGGAACGGCAGAGGATGAGGGGGCTGGGTGGAGTCACTGGGGTAGTCAGTGTGAGCTAAGGTAGACTCTGGGGGATGGTGGAGGACAGGAAGGCCTGGAGGAATATTGTCCATGGGGGTCACAAAGCGTTGGGCACAACTTTGCCACTGAACATAACTTAACATTTTTTACCCTTATAAAACCCTAGATGAAGCTACCAGGAAGTGATCTGAACATGTTTCCCACTCAGAAGGTTGCATGGGGCAAAAATCCTGTTGGCCTGCTTAAATCTCCTTCCAAGCAGCTGAAATGGGGGAAAGCTGGTTCTCCTTGGGATTTGCAAAGACCAACACGGGGAGACAAGCTTGCCACTTACGCGGGGTATTCGGGGACGCGGCTCTTGAACAAAGGGAGGTCCGTGACGTATTCATTATACAGCCATTTCACCTTAAAGTGCAGGTTCATGTAGTCGGCACTCTTGCACAGCCGATGCTTGTCGTGGTCTGAAGAATAGGATGGAGGGGGGGAGAGGAAGAGAAGGCTTTTGTGGGGCTCAGCATGGTGCCTGCTCTTGTCAAGTCTTCAGGGTCTCCTTTGGACTGTTTGTTCGCTTGTTTCTGGTAATCAGCAGGGCCACGTACAGACACGTATTTGCCCAGCAGCCACGGCCTAATGGGGCTGCCTTCTCCACTGCCCATCAGCACCATATTGGGCTAAGTCAGGAGTGGCTCACACAGTCTAAGCTCAATAGCATATGAAATGCAGGCTATTGCAGTGGCTGGACTGGGGGAACTCACCTTGAGTCCCCACTTGCAGAGAGCAAAATATTTGAGTAACACAATAATCAGTCCGCGTATACACACACACACACAGAACTTAACTAAGCCCAAGAATTCTGGTGCAGGTACAGAGACCAGATGGATGTGTCTGCAATTCCCGGATTTTCCTTTTGTCCTTTTGAAGGCAGGAGCAATTGCCCCTTCACCAGTCTTCCCTGGTGGAATAAAAGCTTACAGATGCTTTGGAAATGCATCTCATCCAAGCTTCTCTCAAGACCTGGGCGTTTCCAGTGACCTCATCTTGCATCCACGGTGGAGAAGATGGAATGGGAATACAGCATGTTTTGCCTTATGCAGTGGGATTCTGTTAAATGCTACTCAGCCAGGAGTCTTTCCACTTCTGCCCAAGGAGCTCAGAAGTGTGGAGGGCCACAAAGAGATGGAGAAATGCCTTCAGTGGGCACCAGGTGTGTAAGACCAAGCAGCCTAGCAGATCCAGGATACCCTGGGAGACATACCTTCCATTGCATACTTCATATCCTGAGCAAAAAGATTCCACATCACTTCAGCACTGATCTTTCCCACATTCAGCTCTTGAGGGAACCTGGCAGGAAGGCAGAGGAGGAGAAAAACGATTTCCACAAGAGGAAGATGGTTTGGCATCTTAATGCAAAATTCAGCAATGCAGCTGAATTCTCCTAAGGATTAGAAACTTCCTGCCAACCCTCTTTTCTGATTCTCCCAGGTGCAGACTTACTGGTTGAGGCACGGTGTGTATGAATTCTTGTCTTCCTCTATGATCGACACAATCAAAGTGATTAACTTGGACCAAAAATCTAGATTCTTGATACTGGGTCCTTGTTCTTCTGGTGGCAGCTCCCCCTTTTTGGTCTAGGAAGGGTTGGGAAGCACAAAAAGGGATATCTTAAATTCAGAATAGCATCCCCATTATCTTTTGGAAACTTGGTATTCCAAGGTAGAGATGAAGTCAGCATTTAACTCCGATCTCATTTCAACTTGACTGATAATTCTTTAGTTTTTCTGCTCCCCCATGGTATGCCCATTTTCCACCTAGGTCCTTTGATACCTTGGCATCGTCTCTGAGAAATCTCAGAGTTCTAAAATATGGATGAGCTTTTACATATGCAAGACTCAATATACAGCCATCAGTGCTGATTTAAAAGAATCTCTTTGGTAAATTGCTCATATCCATGAGGAGATGGCTATGTTGAAACAGTAGCTTGTGTACTATTACTTTGCAATTTCTATCAAGATCTAAGCAGCAGCAAACTAGACAAGAACAAGTTTAGTCTTTCTAGAAGTTCCTTCTTCTAGAAACTTTCCGGAAGTTTCATCTTTCTAGAGGTTCCTTGTAGAAACTTCTAGAAGTTCCTTCTAGAAACTTTCTGGAAGCTTCATCTTTCTCGAAGTTCCTTCTTCTAAAAACTTTCTGGAAGTTTCATCTTTCTAGAAGTGACTTCTTCTAGAAAGCTGCTGTGGTTTTGCTGTCAGGGTCCTGGGTCGAGACCCTTGCATGAAATGCATGGAAAAGTCCAAAACCTCTTACCGGGTCAGTCTGGTATTCACGGCTATAGAGTTCATGGCAGTTGTTAAAAATGTACTCGTAGGTCGAGTTGAGGCAGGCCTTCACACAATCCTTTACAACCTGACTGGCTCGTGGGGGACTTTGGAGCTCTTGGACCTGCAAAAACAGAAAAGGGGGATGCAGTTATTAGAAATGGTATGTGCACCAGCCCCACCAGAGGGCCTTCCAAATAAGCAACTAGTCCTCATGAATCCTGTCTGCTGTTGGCTTGAGAGCAGACTTCTGTGCTGTAATCAGCTCTGGAATGATGACAAGGGATATATAAATTCGAGCATCAAGACTGACCACAGAACCAATATGGCTAACTCATACTGGAAGCATAACCTAAATTCCTATGATCCATCTTACTTCAGTACTAATGCCCCTTCTTAAAGATGGTGCCAGGTCCAGAAGGCTGCTTTCACAGACAGAAGCTCTTTCTCCCAAACAGTATTTGCTGGGACGGATTACGCTGGTCTGTAGCTGAGCAAAGCAATTTTCCTCGCGGGACAGCTGGGGGGTAAGTTCCTAGGATGGGTGCAGAATCCTGATAGCTATAATGTCCTTGTCTTCATTTGACAGGCATTTAGGGGGCGTCACACGCTCCACCAATTGATCCATATCCTCAGTGTGCAACACTTTCTGGTCTTTGGGGTGTTGCATCAGTAGAACTTTCAGGTATGTTTCACGAACCTTCATCCGGAAGAAGGTGATGCTGGTCAGAAGGTCCACCGTGGACTTGAGGTCCTGCAGTCTTTCAGGACTACTGGCTGGGAAGTTATTCTGCCAGGGGAAAAATAGGAATCAGAGGGACTGTCAGTTCAAAGCTACAAGCATGCCATCCTAGTCCATTTAAGTCCATAGGGATTCTGCAGCATTCTGCACTCCAGTAGCAAAGTTAACCATTTTTCCTGATTTTTCCAGAAAGGTATTGCAAATTTTTCTCAGTTCTAGCATGCAGACAAATAACCATTACAATCTTGAAATGTGCACAAATGGCATTGTAATTTTTATTTTTTTATGGACCAACTTGCGCAAATGCACACAATTCAAGCTGCAGTCCATATTTGTAACCGAACTGATCAGTTCCATCCTTTGCTTCAGCACTTCCTGCATGAAGTGGGAGGGAAATTGGCAAGTCCTTTAAGACATATAGAACAGGGTGGACTATGCAATGTAGCCTATGAAGGGGACAAAACATATACGGATATTTACAAGAAGAGTTTCATGTACACCTACATAGGAGGCAGATGCAATCATGCACCCTTGCAAAAGATCATCAGTACAAAATCAAAACAAAACCTTGCTCAAATTTCAAGGTTCTTCCCTGAACAAAATGTACAAACTTTTTCCAAAAGGAAGGAAGGAAGGAAGGAAGGAAGGAAGGACGGACGGACGGACGGACGATGGATGGATAGACCCTCTCCTATCTATCTTTCTGGTTATCACATACAAACTCATCAATATTTGTGATTCGTAGTAATAATGGTACTACAAAAAGGACAAATGCCATTTTAGGCTGCATTAATAGAAGTGTCACTTCCAGTTCGTGAGAAGTACTAGTTCCCCTTTACTCTGCACTGCTTAGACCGCATTGTGTCCAGTTCTGGGCACCACAGTTTAAGGAAGATGCAGGTCAGCTAGAAAGGTCTGAGAGGAGGGTAACAGGGATGATCTGGGAACTGGAAACAAAACCCTGTGAGGAGAGATGGAAAGAACTGGAGATTTTTAGCCCTGAGAAGACTGAGGGGAAATAGGATAGCACTCTTCAAGGCTGTCACAAAGAAGAAGGACTGGATCCTTCTCTATCATCCCAGAGGGCAGGATGAGGAGAAATGGGCTTAAATTTCAGGAAGCCAAATTCCGGCTAAATATCAGGCAACTGGACAGCCACCTGAGAGGGATGGTTTAACTGGGAGTCCCGCACTGAGCAGGGAGTTGGATGTGATGGCCCTCTGGCCTCTTCCAACTCTATGATTCTATTCTCTATTTACGGAGTGGAGAGAAAGTAATTCAGTAAACATTTTCATGCAAAATCACCTGATTTCACGCTTTGGAAGCATTACGTGAACCTGAACTCAGTGATCTTTCAAGATTAACACTTCTAATTTTGTGGTGGAGTTCTCTAGTCCAAAATGTGCAGGAGAATAAGAGATAAGAAATGTGCAGGAAAATAAGAAGGAAAATAATGTTCAAAATGTGACCTATTAAGAAAACTGCTTGCGAAAATGTCAGTTAGGTTCAAAAGCATGAATTGGGACACATCTGCACAAAAATGCTCATGAATTTTCATGCAAACATGAGAAAAGTCTCAAGTATCAGGATGGATCAAACTTAAACCTGGAAGTAGCCGTAAAGTTTGCAGGGGACTTAAGGGTGGACAAGCTACAAATGGGCACACTCAGATATACACAACATTGCAATCCCTGTGCCCTGCCAGTTCAGCTAATAAGAACCAGCTGCAAAAAGGGTGGGCAGCAGTCCACTGACAGAATATGTCCAGGTGGCAGGGACTTTCCTCCAGAGGGGAGAAGATGCAGTAGCGAAAGGTGATGAGGTGTCAAGATGCTAGACCATCAAAACAGACTTTCTGGGGACTTGCAGCATCTTTGGACCCCTGGCATTCTTGTGGGACTGCGTGTGTGGTAACCGCATCTTATGTGCTACAGCACATGGGGAGACAGTTCCTGTCTTTATTTAGAACATGTTTGGCCTCCTTTAAGGGCAAAGACTCCTTCAAACAGCATTCCTGCATAACAGGCAGCACCAAGAACCCAAAGCAGTTAATACAAGCACAAATAAACACAAACATCCCATCAAGAAATTAAGTAAACGCTGAATAAACTGTTGCAGCTGCAGTTGTCTTACCCGGTACATGGAGAGATCGATACGTAGAGAATTGTGAAGCTGGTCCAGCAGTTTGACAAACCGTTCTTTCTGTCGAAAGAAAAATTCCCCAGACACAGGTAAGTGGAATTAAGGGAGAGGGAGCTCCAACCCAACCTCTCCACACATGCAAAACCCTCCCTACGTCTCAACGCTGTTCCGGCCTTAGCGCATGTAACAGCACCACCTGTCCCTGAGGAGACCATCCTGCTTTCCAAATTGCATGCACCTTGGGGCAGGGAACTGCCTATGCAACATACAGCAAGACCCCTTCCCCAGCAGGTGCCCATGCCAAGGGGATACGGAACGCCCTGCTGTGTGCATTCCAGTCTGTCCTCTTTCGGGTGTCCAATTTGGAGGCATAAATTCCCTTCCCTCCAGCTGCCTAACCTCCCAGCACAGCCGTCTCTCCACAAAGGGGCCCTGCCCTAGGTGAGTGTGGCAGGCCAAGGGAAGAGGGTTGCTCTGTCGCTGATTCCAGTGCAAAACCATACGCCCTCAAGCCCTGGTTCCATCTTTGGGGCTCGAGAAGATCTGCTTCATCGGAGGGGCTGAGACGGGACTGTAGGGTCATCTAAGGGCATTTATCTGTATTTTATGCTTTGCCTAGGGAACAGAGAGCTAAGGGGTTGATGGTCTGAGACAGGTCAAGAGGCCAGTGAGGGGGGGATCTGCTCAGTGGGCTGTCAGATGACCAAACTGTGCACATGTGTGTAGGGTCAATTGTGTTCCACCTGGCCCTATGTAGCCACAATTAATAGGCTTGTCAACTTTCGCCACCCCTTGATCGCCTTTAGATAGTCAGAGGAACCTGCTCATCTGCCTTTGCTTCCAAGGAAGCAGCCCCAATAATTAACGGTTGCTTGTGAATGTTCCTGAATTCCATGCTCCAGTATGAATCTAGTAGGGGTAATGTTCAATCCAGGGATTAACGGGAGCCCCTGGACATTAGTAAGTAGCCTTTGTAGCAAAATAACCCCAATTATCCAAAATTATTGGGAAGGACTCCCAGGAAAGAGGATGCAATCTAAAATCCAGTTCTTGAGATCCAGCTCAGGTCTGAAACTGGTCCTCCTTAGAGTTCCTTTCTCAGTGGAATTTGGAGAGGTATCCATGCTTTGGGCCTGGTTTGACTTCCAGGTCACCGGCCTCAGAAATTAAATCATTAACAGCCTGGCGTATGGCCTGAAACTGCAGAGCAGCTCCGGGAGCAGGAGGGCACCTGACCGCATGTTCTGCCCTCACCTATCCAATCCAGACTGGCCCAAGCCAGCAGACACAGAGATCAAAGCTTCCCGACCAAGCCAGTCGGTCGCCACCCCACCTGCATTCCCCGGGCCTCTCGAGCAAAGCAGGAGGGAGAAGGGGCTTAGCATTGGAGCAACATTGCATGCGAGCAGCAAAACAGCCCTTGAGAGGAGGGTCACTCCTGGGGGAACGCCTCCAAGGAACCTCCCAAACTTCCCCCAGATGAAAGTATGGGCAGGCGAGCTCTGCGCTTCCCTGCACGTCCCTGGTACCACCCCCTTCCTCAACGAGGTTGTGCGTGCACCCCCCTGCACAAGGGCGGGGTGATGGTGGTGTCAAGTGCAGGTGTGTTTTCTTAGCACTGCTCAGCGGTATGAAGAGATCAGCACCAGGCCAGCCACAAGGACAAGGGGTTGGAACGCCACGCTGTGTGAGCAAACGCATGTGATTTAGACCACCTACAAAGGGCTGAAGAAAGACCAGTTTGCTAAGAAAGGGTGGGAAGGAATGTTTAATCATGTGTGGATGCACGTAATTTCCCCCCTGGGTGGCTAGAGCCCAAGTCTTCTGTTTGTGACTCCTGCCGTCTGCCTTTTCTCTAAGGTCTGCTTTCCCCAGGTTGGTGTTCTGGCCTACAACTCCCATGATTCCCAATAATGGGCCAGGATGAAGAACAACCCACATCTGGGAACACTAAACTGGGGGGGGGGGGGAGGGCTCAAAGCCCCCTGCCCCGGGTTGGAGCTGCCCTTGTAACACTGCATGGACCTACTTATATATGATTTATTGCTCAGGAAAGACAGACAAAACGGCTCGTAGATGCTAGTGAGGTAAGTGGGGAGGAGGGGGGGGATCCATTATATCTGGGCCCACAATGTTTGGGGTGAAAGCTACGTTTGGCCTTCGATCCAGAATCTCACCTGAGGATAATGTCTCTTTAAAATGGGGAGAGAGTGCTAGGCAAGGGAATCTGGATGGGGAGGATTCTGGAAGAATAATTATTTCAACATGTTCTTCAGTTATTTTTAGATAGATAGCTTGCATTCTTAGCTAGATATTTCTTTTGTTGTTGTGACAGGCTGTTCACGTTATCTCTGACTTATGGAGACCTAATGAATGAAAGCCTTCCAGACGTTCCTGCCGAGGACAGTTCTGTGCAGTTTCCCCAAGTTCAAGGCTTCCTCATTGGACTCCATCCATCCCCTCCTGCTCTTTCTTTTCTTCTCTTGCGCTCAACCTTCCCTAGTGTGACGGTCTTTTCCAGGGTGTCTTGCCTTGTCACGATGTGCCCAAAGTATAAAAACCTCCATTTTGGCATATTTACTTCTAGGGAAAGCTCTGGTTTTACTATATCTCAGCCCTGGGGATTTGCAAAGCTCTGGTCCTGCACCATCCAAATGCATCCATTTTCTTCCTCTTAGTTTTTCTTCTGCTCCAACAGAGCCAAGCTCATGAACCAAGGTTCAATTTGGATGCCAGGAAGCACTTCCTGATGGTTAGGACCCCCAGGGTATGGAATGGGCTTCCACGGGAGGGGGTTGAGGCCCCATTGGTGAGGGTGTTCAAGGACAGGCTGGACGTCCACATGGTGGGCATGTCGTGAGTGGAGCCGGCTGGAGCTGGGGGTCAGACTAGATGGCCCGGGAGACCCCTTCTGACTCGTTCTGTTTCTATGTTTCATTCCCTGCCCTTGTTCTAAGCAGCCAAGTTTCAATTTAGATTCCAGGAAGCACTTCCTGACAGCTGGAACCCGAGGGTGTGGAATGGGCTTCCACGGGAGGGGGCTGAGGCCCCATCAGTGAGGGTGTTCAAGGACAGGCTGGACATGCACATGGTGGGCGTGTCGTGAGTGGAGCCGACTGGAGCCGGGGTCAGACTAAATGGCCCAGGAGGCCCCTTCTGACTCGCTCTGCTTCTATGTTTCTTCTTTGTCCAGCTTTCACACCCATATATAGTGATCAGGAAGATGATAGTGTGGGAAATCTTGGCCTGGGTCTCCAGAAGAACACCCCTACACTCAAGTACCCTTTCTAGTTCCTTCTTCTGATTTCTTGGCTAAGCCCCCCTTTGAAGTGACGATGCAGTCAATACTTCATCCTCTCCTCATTGGCAAAGACGCGTTCAATGTATTGGACACTTTTGACAAGGGTCCACAGCAGCTGAAGCCTCCCACTGAAGTTCTTGAGGTTCCTTTGGAGAAGTTTCCAGGGAGGCAAAAACGGGCTTCAATAAGGCAGGTGGAATTTCTTGGGAGTCTTATAGCATTGCAGAACAGTAGCGTTAGAAGGACAAGAAGGCCATCGAGTCCAAGTCTTGCTCAGTGCAGGATTGCAGGTTAAACCGTCCCCCTCAGATGGGCGCCCAGCTGCATCTTGAAGACCTACCAGGTGGGAGAGCCCGCCACCTCCCCAAGTCATGAGTTCTACGGTCATATTGCTCTAACGGGAAATTCTTCCTGATGCTCCACTGGGATCTGAGCCCACGACTCTATTCACTGGAAGGATCAAGGAGAGAGCCTGTTCTTCCTCTGTGGGCACCCTTTCTCTCTTCATCATTGAGGCCCCATCGGTGCGGGTGTGCAAAGATAGGCTGGACATGCCCATGGTGGGCATGTCGTAAGCGGAGCCGGCTGGTGCCAGAGGTCAGACTAGATGGCCCGGGAGACCCCTTCTGACTCGCTCTGTTTCTATGTTTATGTTTCTATTTTGCACACATGCTCTTGAAGAGAGACCTTTGTGTTTCGTGGCTGCCTTGGACCCAGCGTTCCACAATATGCAGTTTCAAAATAAAAAGCACTCTGAAACCAGAGTGTTCCCAAGACAACCAGGAGAGGCGGTCCCCTGTCACAGTGGTGCTGGAGGCTGCCCTAACCCCAACCCTGACCCCAGGGGGAAGCGGAAAGCCTTGGTCTCCCACTGGGACATGCCACGGTTTGCCCGTTGTTTGGCCAGCTACACGTAATTCCACGGGATGCCTTCATCCCTGGACACCAGCCATGAAGATTCGGTCTCGTGCCTTTGCTTTTCTGCGTGCTTCTCCAAGCAGCTGCATTTGTGCCAACATAATTGGGGGTGTGGACTGGGCTTCCAGGGAGGGGGTTGAGGCCCCCTCGGTGCGGGTGTTCAAGGACAGGCTGGACATGCACATGGTGGGCATGTCGTGAGCAGAACCAGCTGGAGCCAGGGTCAGACTAGATGGCTTGGGAGACCCCTTCTGACTTGCTCTGTTTCTGTTTCTAACCTACCTTTGGGCTCAGGGCTGGGGCCTGACATGAGAAATGGTTCCTTTAAATTTCAGACTGAAACCCAGAGTGGGTACACCACCCCACCAATGCGGGAGCCCACCTGCCTCCATTTGCTCCAACCACTTGTCCATCCAGCCCTGGATGGCTGAGACTCCCCTGCAGTTGGCTACAGGTTGGATGCCTTCCTAGTCCTACCTGGGGATGCCGAGGAACAAGCCTGGCAGTTCCCACATGCAAAGCAGGGGCTCCACCTGCCTGGTACTGTCCTGGTATCAGTTTCCCTGAGATTTCCATCCCTTGGTTCTACTGGGCCCTGGACTGGGCTTCCAGGGAAGGGGTTGAGGCCCCATCGGTGAAGGTGTTCAAGGACAGGCTGGACATGCACGTGGTGGGCATGTCGTGAGCAGAGCTGGCTGGTGCCGGAAGTCAGACTAGATGGCCCGGGAGGCCCCTTCTGACTTGCTCTGTTTCTCTGTTTCTATATCCCTTTGATGTCCTTTTATTTTCACTTTTCATTTCATTAGCTGTTTGAATGTCCAAGTTCCATAGGGACAGAGATCTCTGTTTTTGCATATGGAAATCATGTATTGTGCAAACTAATGACTCCATTTCCAATACTGGCAGCAGTGCATTCTTTTAAAATTATCCTTTTTAGTTCTAGTGGGTAGCGTGTTATCGGCTTACTGTATGATGCATTTGTGTATTTTAATGCTCCTTGTCAAAATTGTAATGGAATATCAGAAAAAGCATGTAACACTTTTCATTTACTGTTAAATTCCTGCTTTTCTCCCTTCTTTCCTTGCTTCTAGCAGGATTTCAGGGGTCCTACGTCTCATGACGGGCGGGGTTTTCCTGAGAAAACATCTCTTGCTAAAGCTATTAGAACAAAATGTTGGGAAACGTGTAATGTGCACATTCCATATTGCAAATTCCTTGGCCGCTGTTTGCTGATCAGCCATAAACTCACTGAGCAGTTTTGGATAAGTCCTTCTCTCTCCTAACCCACCTCTTAGGTTGTTGTGTGGTTCAAATGGGGGTCGAAGGGGGCACTGCGTTCTAACCTCAACTCCCTCTACAAAGGGGGCAGGGGACAGAGAGGCAAAATTCCAAAGCAGGGCATATTTTAATAACCTGATAAAATTAGAATTGTGGCAATCGTGATGGCGTTCTAATCAGAAATGGCGTAGCCCTAGCTCCTTCGAAGCTCTGCCCGCAGCCCTCCCGTTCTGCCTTGCTTCCTGCCCCACAACATGGCTGTGCTCCACCTCCCCCCCACCCCCCCAGCCACCCCCCACCCCACATCTGCCCCTATTGCGATGCACAAGGGAGAACAAGAAGCGATCCTTGCAAAATGACACGGATGCACATTCGCCACAACACAGCTTCCGGAGCACGCCATAAGCACCGGCCATGGCACACAGGGGGATAAAGCGACACAGTCTGGTTTGGGGGGGAGGGAAATTTTAGGCTTTCTGAGAGAAAAAGAAGAAGAAAGAAAGAAACAAGATTTGTACAGTGCCTAACATTTGCTTTATCAAAATTCTTGTCGTCTTTGCAGCTGCAACTTGGACCCAGAACAGAAAGTCACACCCCTAATCAAGGAGCATGGGCTAGCCAGAAGTGCGAGCTGAGGGTTTTGAATATGCATTATAGCAGCATTACAGCCAAGGAAATCCCCTTCATGCGAGGCACGCTGTCTGGCTGTTTGGACACTCTTTGTCCTCAAAGCACAGCGAAACAACAGGGCATGCGACAATGGCTTTGCCCAGCACCCCGGGAAGAGAAAGCCCATCCGCAAACCACCTGCTGCGTCTGAACATGGAAGCAGGACTGGGTGGTTGGGGGAATCCTAGTCTTGTGTGAGGGGAAGCAAATGTCCCCATTAATTTAATTTAATCAATTAAAGAGTTAAGGAACTCTGCGGGGGCCTACCTGGGTGCCTTTCCCCCATACTGGACACCCAAACCTTCTGCTTGCCCTGTCTTTGGGCATCAAGGCTCAGGGGCAGAGGCAGGGAAGTGGCCTGAAGACCCTCCCCTGATCCCCAACCCCACACTGGAGGCTGACTTCCCTAAAGCAGCAGATCCTGACCCGGTCTCTTCTCAGCCCAATTCTGCTGAGAAGCCGGGATCCTTCAACCCACAATGGCGCAGAGAGTTGGTGGAGGGAAAGCTCCTGGAAGGCACAGGGGTGCCTGCATCTGGGTATGGGTTTTTCCTTTAGGATGCCAGAATCGTTAGGGCTCAAACAAGGCTGGCGTGCCCACACACGGCCCTCCACTCGTGTGCCAACCGCACCACTGGAGTTTTGCTTCCACACAACTTGTGCCTTTGTGTACTTTGCATGGAGAACGCTGTGCTTTGCTAGCTTTGTGCAAAGAAGGGGTCTGTAGCATCCCTGAGTATCTGTGGACTTGGACCTCAGTTCGGCCCGCTTCCTGGGGGGGGCTGCGCACGGAAAGGGAGCAAGATTCCGGCCAGCTCTTTGCCCCCGTAAGTCCCACCCTCTTTAGCCTCTGTTCTGAGGGAAAGGCATTCTGCCTCGGCTGTTTGCGATGCCACTTTGGGGCTTGTTTCTGTAGTCTTGGTGGGGTAGCAGTTAGAGGGTCAGACAAGGATGGGGCGATCCAGTTTCAAATCTCGCCTCCACTGCGGAGCTCACCAGGCAGCCCTCGATCTCTCTATCTGCCAGTCTAACCTACCTCGCAGGGCTATTGTGAGGGCAATCTAAAAGGAAGGACCCTTCCCACCATCTCAAGCTTCTTAAGAGCATGAGAAAAGCCTGCTAGATCAGGCCCAGGTCCATCCAGCCCAGCACTCTGCACCCTCGGTGGCCACCCAGCTGCCCACAGGATCCCCCAAGTGGGACAGGTGCAAGACCTCCTCCTGCCCAGCTCCTCAGCAACAGGTGCATGTAGGCAGGTGAAGGAGGGAGCCCGTGGCCAGCAAGGCAGGTAGCCACAGCCAGCCTCTTTCCTCTTCAACCTCTCCAATAAAGGAAGGTGGGATAAAAATTAAAGAAGTACATGATCTTAAAAGGAGGGAGATACCAAGGATTCTTCCAATCATTTGGGTGTCTTTGAACCTGGAGGTTCCATATCATGTGACTGCAGACAGGGGACTCTAGAAAGAAGTCACCAGAGAGCTGACAGCATAACCTGTCCCATCATTCTTCAATGCTCAATTATCTTTTCCTGTATTTAATGAAGTCTTGCTTAAAGATGGGTTTTGCTCTCAGTCATATTGCATCATGGCTCACTCCTGGTCATTCCTGTCTTCCAGGAGGTAAGTTTTTCTTATGACTGGAGAGGTACTTGTATCCACAAAAATCCCCAAGGCAAATTCCAGCCCAAACAATTCCTCTGGCAAAGTTGTCAGCCATCTCCGCATTTTCTCCTGGGCTAGGTGGGGGGAATGGTTGGTGAGGAACAGGTAAGCAGTTTGGGGTGACATAGTTCAGAAAGGCCATGCTACGCCCACGCACCCCTTCCCCCACCCACCACCCCTAATTTAAAAAAGCAGAGAGAATAGAAGTAAGAAATGAGTGTTCTACGCACCATCGGACTTACCCCGAAATTGGAAGCAGCAAAGCGGTCGGAGGCAGAGACGTTGGTGGAAGCCGTGGTGTGGGCGTAGTAAGCATTGATGTTAGCTAGCAAGGTGCTCATGACTGCAGGGACACCAGGACACATATACTTGGAGGAAAGGCACGCAAAATGCCTGGGGGGTGAGAGCCAAGAGGGAAAAAATGAGGCTTCCATCATGGCTACCTGAACGAGCGCTTACGTCTATATATGCCCAGCCGCCCCCTGAGATCTGTGGGAGAGGCCCTTCTCCGGGAACCCTCCGTGAAAGAAATTAGGAGGGTGGGTACTCGGAGGAGGGCTTTCTCTGCGGTGGCACCCAATCTATGGAATGTGCTCCCCAGAGAGGTCCGCCTGGCACTGTCGTTACTGGTTTTTCGGCGCCAGGTAAAGACCTTTTTATTTAAACATCATTTTAATGGTTAAAACATATGATCTGGCCAGGGCAACTTCTTCTCCCTTCTCTTTCCTCCTCCTATATTCTTTATTTACTTATTTTATACTGTTAATTTTAATTTTATATTATTGTATCTCAGTGTATTTTTTGTATTTTTATATTTATTGGTAATTTATTATGTTCTATTGTATTTCAATGTATCTTATTGTGTTGTATGCCGCCCCTTGCTGAAGCCTCGGGGCGGCATAGAAATGTTATAATAATAATATTAATAATAATAATAATAATAGTTTCAGAGTTTCCGTGTCTTGCATTTCATGCTTCCGCAGCGTCCCTTGGAAGCAGCTTGCTGTCTGGGCCCCATTCAGAGTGCTTGCAAACACATAAAGCCTTAAACAGCTTGGGGCCAGGCTGTCTGAGGGAACACCTGCCTCCATATGCACCAACCCGGTAACTGTGGTAGCCATCTGAGGCCTTCTCCAAATGGATCTGCCTTTCTGAAGGACCACCGTCTCCTGGACATGCCTACCTGCCCATTAAGAACTGGCCAAGAGGCCCTTCTGACTGCCATCCCTCAAGGAGGCGAGAGGGGTGGTAAATAGAAGAAGGGCCTTTTCGGTGGCTGCCCCCACCTGTGTGACTGGCTCCCCAGAGACGTTCTCCTGGTGCTCACTCTCCTCTCATTTTGGCACCCAGCGAAAACATGCCTCTTCACCTCCCATTTTAATAATATAAATAATAGATTTTATTAATGGGTTTTGGTTGTTTCAATTTATTGTAGTTTATCATTTGGTTATCCACCTTGCCTGAATCTGTTTCTTGGATTTGATCTGGCCTTTGTAAGTATTGCTATTCCTCGATTATTTTTT